AAGGGAGGGCAGTTAGGGGTGACCAGGCTGGCAGAGGAGGGAAGTTAGGAAGAACCCAGGCCTGCTGTGGAGAGCAGTTCGGGGGACCAGGCAGACAGGGAAGGGCAGTTAGAGGTGACCAGGTCTGCAGGGGAGGGCAGTTAGGAGCATTCAAGCTGGCGGAAGACAGGTTAGGCATCAATCAGGCTGGCAGGAGAGTGATTAGGGGGTGATCAGGAAGGCAGGCAGGCAGTTGGGAGCCAGCAGTCCTGGATTGTGAGAAAGATGTTCGACTGCCTGTTTAGGCCTGAATTTCATGCACCAGGCATGAAATATATATATATATATTTGGTGATAGTAACATTGATTATCTTTTATATTTAATTTTATTTATACATCTTAAATTCTTACTGTTTCTCAGAACTGTTGGATATTGAAATTGGGACTCAAATGTTTTTTGTTATTATATGTTTATTTCTAGTCTGCAGCTGCAAGATATGGGGAAAAATAGTTATAAAGAACCATTGAACAGACTGTCAAACTATAGCGGGAAGGTAAGGGAGGTTGGGATGGGGGGCTGTAAGAGATCAACTGAAGGACTTGATGCATGCATATAAACATAACCAATGGATACAAGACATAACACCCCTCCCCACCCCCAACCTCTTTCTCTCTCCACAGAATACTGAGGAGAGTTAGCAATCTTTTCTTAGACAGATGGTGGGCACAATGCAAAACATCTTCCTACTTATTAAGGCAATCTTGTTTCAAGATCAAAAGCCATAAAGTGCTAAATTCTGGATGTTTTCCTCATTTCTGGTCCATCTGTCTTCAAATTAGGGTCAATTCCACTAAGATTTTCATATTAAAACAGTATCTGTTGGTCTTAGATCAGCACAATGGGAAAAACCTTATATACCTTAAAGTTCATATTATACAACTGTACACATTAGGTTTACTAATACTAAAAACTTTAAACAAATCTTAATAAATTATAGCTGAAATTTAAAACAAATGTTCTAAGCAAAAACTCACCTCATATTTTGAAAGTAATAGTTAGAACATGGATTCGAAAATCTGACAGCTTGGGTTTAAACCCAGCTCTGTCACTTACTATAGCAACATCATTGAAAATTCTTCATGCTTAAGTATCCCCATTTGAGATGTCCTAACAGAAGTATGCACTCTTGTGACCACCCCCTCAAATCGAGGGAACATTTTTCTCACTCCAAAAAAGTCCATGCTTAGACAAGAGAAGTACTAAATTCAATTAGGGGTAGAAAACTAACAAATTTGATATTAAGACATCATACCTATTGGCACAGAGATCTTTCTCTTCTTGAAGTTTGGCTTAAACACAAAACAGCCCTATAAAAATAAAAAATAAAAGGCATAAAGTCAAAGTAGCCAAGGAGCAGATAAATCCGTTAACTAAATATTTTATGGATAAGCAGATTTTTTTTAAAAGGGTATATCTTAAAGTGCTAAGATAGCTCTTTTCTATATGAGTTACAGGAGGAAAATTCTTAAACAATACAAGGACTATCCATTTCTTTCTCTTCCTTCTCATGGGATATTCATCTTTGATTATGTTCTTTGGGACCTGATCTAAGAGACAAAGAAAATAAACTCTGATGAAATTTGAATGCAGAAAAATTCCATTTTTATAAAACTTAGAGAAGAAAGAACATTAGTGGTATACATTAAAATGAAGATCAAGAAGATATAAAATAGTGATGCTTTCCATCTCAAAATAAGTATCTGTTATTTAATTAAACTTCAACCATTAGAACCATGATGGAAAATAGATCATTTGGGCTATTGTTTCACCTTTCTTCATCTTATAAGTACATATTCATTTATCCATTACAGATTAACTCAAACTCAGCCACTCTAGTTAGAATTACTCCTTCTCCTAGGACTTGAATATCTTTATTTTTAATTACTTTCACTCAGCATCATAGTTATTTAGTTTGTCTCTCTATTTCTGAGTATTTTCAGAGCACAGATTCCATTTAGTTAATGATCATTTTCCCAATGTTAACATATTCATTAGGCAATCAGTATTTTATCTAATAAAAGAGTAATATGTAAATTGACCATCATTCCAACACACAAGATGGCCACCCCTATATGTTCAAAGATGGCTGCCCCCATGTGGACACAAGATGGTCACCACAAGATGGCTGGCAGGGGAGGGCAAATGGGAGCAACCAGGCTGGCAGGGGAGAGCAGTTAGGGATTACTGGGAAAGCAGAGAAGGACAGTTGGGGGGGAGGGAGGAGACCAGGCTTGCAGGAGAGGGCAATCAGGCTGGCAGGGGAGCAGTTAGGCATCGATGAGGCTGGCAGGGGAGTGGTTAGGGGGTGATCAGGCTGGCAGGCAGAAGCAGTTAGGGGCAATCAGGCAGGCAGGCAGGTGAGCGATTGGGAGCCAGCAGTCCTGGATTGTGAGAGAGATCCCAGATTAGAGGATGCAGGCTGTGCTGAGGGACCACCCCCACGCACGAATTTCGTGCACCGGGCCTCTAGTATAGAATAAATGCTTGCAAAGTAATTTCATGTTATTATTTGATTAGTGATATATAGTCCCCAGGCTACTGGTCCTATGTTTATTCTCCCAATCCTAAAGCATGGACAGCTTCTTAATTGCCATTTCTGTGGAAAATGAAAAAGTAAAAAAAATATAGGTGTCCCTTCAAAAATGTATATACACTTTAATAACTGATAACTCAATTTTGAAAATAAACTGTATGTTAATAAACACTGACTTTACAATTAATCAAAGTGTGTATATCTTTTTTGGGGGACACCTGTGTATCTAGAAAAAGTCATCTCATGACATTTGCACTGCTAAAGGCAGCAGTGCAAATATAAAGTGGCCATTTGGATTACAGGATCCAAAGTGAGAACTTTGCCTTATATACTCTTGTATCTGCAGCTAGTGGAACCATTTAAAATACATACATATTTAAAAAAATCATGTGGTATCACAACAAGCTTGTTACTACCTCTTTTCTATATCTATCTGCAATCAGTAAAGGAAAAGGAGCTTTGAAGGAGTGAAATACACTATCATGAAGGAATCCTAATGTATGGCAGTGGGAGTAACATGGTTAACCACTTTGAACTCCTGATCAAGGGATGGTGTTTGAGATGAAGGAAGAAGTCTAGGAGGACAGCCAACAGCAATATGATTAAAAAAAAAAAAAGAGAGAGAGAGAGAGAGAGAGACATTTAGATAGGTTGGGAGAAAATAGTCTAAAGATTCTTATTCATGTCAGGGTCCCTTCATAATCATCTCAATACAAGCATTTCGGTTATAAGGCCATAAGTGCTTTCCTGGGGATGGGGGAGAATTTCACAATTCTGCAAGATATACAAAAATAAGAGGCTTGCCCTGGCTGGGTGGCTCAATTGGTTGGAGCATCCATACCAAAAGGTTACAGGTTCAATTCCTGGTCAGGGCACATATCTAGGTTGTGGGTTTGATCCCTGATCAGGGTGGGTATGGGAGGCAACCGATTAATGTCTCTCTTTCACATTGATGTTTCTTTCGCTTTCACACCCTTCCTTTCTCTAAGAACCAATAAAAACATATTCTCCAGTGGGGATTAAAAAAAAATAATACGAGGCTTATGCAACAAAAAGGATCAGAAGGCAGACCATCCAAAATCTATGGAACTACACAACCAGGGCAAAACAAAAACAGTACCAATCCTAATAAATTTTTTAAAATATAGTAGCAGTTAAATCTCTTCTAGCTTGCACACAGTTAGTACTTTGTAAACTTAACCCTAAACTTGTAGCTCCTCCTTGATATATAGTCTTGGAAGGCACTGTGCTCATAATTTTGTTTTAATCAAAATTAAAAATTAGATCCATGGTGTAGCCTTCTTCATTAATCTGGTTTTATACAGAGAAATGTCTTTGGAGCTTCTTCATCTGCATTCTCAGCTTTATCAGACAGCTTAACTTAAGGAACTTCTAGTTGCACTCATATCACTAAAGGTCTGTCTATAACAGTGCTTTCCAATAGGACTTTCAGTAACGAGGGAAATACAAAAATCTGCACTAAGATGTAGTCATATTAGCGAGACTGAGGGACTAAACTTTTAACTTTATTTTCATTTAAATACCCACATGTGGCTAATGACTATCACACTGGGCAACAGAGCTCTAAAGTTTCTCTTCTTACCAACTATACTATGTCTTGCAGTCCCTGGCCATCTAAGCAGCCAGTATGAGAGGATCTATAGGATCCCCTCACACACACTCTTACACTACTTTTCATTAGTTTTCGTAAGGCTTCCTTTTCTATTTCTACTTTCTAATTATACAAACTTTTCAATTCCTTTATTAAATATGCCATTTTATTTCTATCTTCTAAACCAAAGAACATATTCTCCTTGCTAACACCCTCCACTCTCCAATCCTTTACCTAACGGTCTCTCAGTCTGTGGTCAGCTCGTCTGTGTTTAATGTGTTTCTTCAGCGCAAACACTGAGTCTATTTTGTTAACCCCTGCATCCGGGTACCTCATGGAGTGTTGGGCACAATCACCATTGGAGGAGGACCGAGGACGGGTGACTGGGGCACATCCTCCGGACAGTCGATCTCCACAGACCAGAATTTAGAAATCCTCAGGCCTAGCCAAAACACTAAGGCAGGTGGACGTCTTCGCTCCCCAAACAAGGTTGGCCTGAACCGGACCTGGAGCCACGACCTCAGCTCCCACCGCCACACCTTCCCCTGCAGTCGGTACACCTAGGCCCTCGTACCCTCCGCTTCCTGCCGTCCCCGAGAGGGGATGAGGTTGCGGCGGAGTCTCAGCGGCCGCCCGCCCCCGCGTACCTTGGACACCGAGGAGGTGGCCATGGTCCCGGCGGCAGGATGGACTCCAGAAACTCAGGATTTCCCGCGCTCCTTCGCGGCAGCAGGGCAGGGGTTAGTGACGAGCCACTGGGCTTCTTGATTGGCTGGCATCATCCTGGAGGCGGGCTTCCGGCGCGTGGAGGCGGGGCTTCAGAGGAGGGCGGGGCGTGGTTCCAGCGGGGCTTTAGAGGTTCCGGGACGCTCTACGTGGAAGTAGACATGGCGTGCGGCTTCCGCAGGTCCATTGCTTGTCAGGTACGGTCCCAGGAACGGAGCCCCGCACCCCCAAAGCCGTGTCACCGCTGCGGGCCAGCCCTCAGGCGGCGGAAGGGCGGGTTCTGAGGAGACCCCGTTTATTTCTGCCGCTCCCTCACCGTCCCCTGGAGATGCTTCAGCTGCTGAGGCAAACCCAGGGGACGGTCGGGCATGCATGCGGCTCAGCTCAGTTTTCAGGGTGAAAAGTAAACTTGGCAAGGCACGGGTTGCTTCCCTCCAACCTTCCTACCCTACAGCTTTATCGGGTGGGAAAGTCACGGGGGCCATGATTAGACCCCACAGAAATTGACATTGACCTAGTGAAATCAAGAGGCTTTGGCTACAATGAATGATAAAAAAAAAAAAAAAGTCCATTCAGGGGTCTTAGGGTTCGTAAACCGAATAGCAGTGCAGTACCCAGAGTGTTCTGAAGAAAGAAAAACTGAGGGTTCTTACAGAAGAAAGGAAGTTCTTGGAAAACAGGTCTGCGTTCTTGCCCTCGGAACTCCTAGGACAGTGTTTCCCATACTTCTCTCATGATGAGAATCACCTGGTGGAGTTGTTAAACTACAGATTCCTGAATCCCAACTAAGAAGTGCTAAACTAGAATTTTTGGGAACATATAGGTAAAATTGTATACTTAACTAGTGCTCTAAGACAGGGCACTAAGTTAAAATATTCTTGGACGTATCAAAAGATTGGGATTCAGGAATCTGTAGTTTAACAACTCCACCAGGTGATTCTCATCATGAGAGAAGTTTGGGAAACACTGTCCTAGGATATAGTTAGTCCTGCTTGTTGACAGGGAGGGCACCTGGTGTGTTTCCCTAAGGCTTAGGGCCTAAGCAGTGGTTCTCAGGCCTTGGCTGCAGACTGCAATCACCTGAGGACCATTAAAAAATGCCCAAGCCCAGGCCCCCGCGTTAGAAACTCTATCAGGTGATTTTGTTGTTCATCCAGGCCTGGTAACTGCTAACCAAGGAAGACCCGGAGGCAGAAAGGTGTAGTGCAGTGGGCCACACACTTCTCTGCACAGTACCATGAGCACAAGAACTTATTAGCATCCTGTTGCTCACATCACATCCTGCGCTAGTTAAATCAGAATATTTGCATCAGTGTTTTCTAAAGATCCCTGGGTCATTCCAAGGTGCAAGCCATTGGTATAGTGATTAAGAATACCAACCATGAGGATGTGTGGGTTTAAATCCACCTTCTCTGGTAGGTATGTAAGTTCCCTGTCCCTCATTTGTAAAATCTGGAAATTTATTTAGCTACTTTATAGGGTTGCCATTAGGATTTAATGAATTAATACGTATATAGTGCTTGGGGATTGTGTTTGGTACATGGTATACACTCAATAAATATTGTTCATTCTGTTAAGTTAGAATGCCGAGGACCGTATTTTGAATCCCCTTGCTACACTTCTGATGTGGGACTCTAGTTATACATTACTCTCAGTGAATGCTTTAGTTCCACATGAGGTTAGGTCACCAGAAAGCTACGTATCTGAACCTTAACTTAATTTTCAATGAAAATTTCTTAGCAATACTTTTATAAAGTCAGGAAAAAAGAAGGAAGGAAGATAGAAAAACTGGGTAGATATGCTTTTTATAAAAATTGTAATGAGTTTTTATTTTTAGGTTTGTTTGCTTCTTTAAGTGTGTTATGATGAAAAATGTCAAACTACTCAAAGTGTAATAGTGTTAGGATTCCCTAGGTATGCATAACTGAGATATTGTTTTAAATAAAGAAGTATTAAACATAGTTTTGCTTGAACTTAATGAAAGAAAAAACAAAGTGCAATGGGAAGAATTATTGATGTATTTTCTACTTGAGTTCTCCGCAGTTAAGAGATTATGCAGAATAATAAGTTATTCTAGAATGTTTATTTAAAACCTTGATGTTTCATGTTTAGAAAATATCAACCCCTGGCATGAGAGATGAGGGCATTAGAATTCTTATAGTTGGCATAACTTTCCTCTACCATTCCTAATTTGTTTGGGTAACTTTCTCATTTGTAACACTCATAGTCTGTTTATTAGCCATATATGCACAACTTGTCTGCTTTTCACTTTATATTGATTTGGATGAGATGTTGACCAATACTTTTCCTGGTTACATAGCTTAATTGGCTGGATTTCTTCATAAGTAGGCTTTTCAAGAAGGGCTCATGGTGCTTTATTTTTTTTCAAACTTAAAAAAAAAATAAATTATGACTTCTCAGATAAAATAATCTTGGATGTATCAAAAGGCTTAATTATTTTAAAAAATTATCATGTTTAGAAATATCAAAATAGATTCAGAAATATAAAAAAATCTTCATTTTAGAAACAAAGCAGTAACAATATTGCTTAGTTCTGATTTTGAATTTTCCAAAGACTTATACCATAGATGCAAAATGCATACAACAATCCAAGGTTATTTTTTAAATTTCCAATTTTCATATGTTGGCAACTAAAGCAAACTATAAACAACTGAGCAGTGAAACAAATATGCCCATCTGCAATTTTTCTAGTGGATTATGTAGTCCTATATAATATCATTGCTAAGTTATTTGCTTTAACCATGTGATTAGGCAACATGAATACAAAGTAAAATTCTTCTTCTCATCTCTAGATTTTTGATTGGATGCTTTATCTTGAAATATATAACTTAGTCTGGTGTTCCTCTTAAATTTTTTGCGTTATATTTTTCTGACATAGTAGTTTACTTTTGATCCGAATGGAACCAGGAACCCTTCAGTCTTCAGGCCAACACTCTGTCCACTGAGCCAGACCAGCTAGGGCCAGTTATTAAATTTTATATAAGTGGTAATCAAACTGATTATCCTTCTGCAACTTGGGTTTTTGTTTGTTTGCCTCAAATTTTAAAAAATATTTATTATAAAGAGTATGGAGGTTTAATTCTTTCATTTTACTGCCAATGGTGTGCCATTGCCATAATATACCACAATATAGATTTGGTTCTTTATTTCAGGGACATTTTTTCTGTTATTGAATATTATGTCCTATTTTCTCCCATCACTTGGTCACACCTGTGATTCCAGCTGCCACTTGTGTGAACAGTTTCACGTGTGCTCCTTATTGCTAACAGCATCCCATTCTGTTTTCGAAAGGCTGCTAATCTCAGCCTATGTGGGCTCAAGTGTGGTGGAGTTAATGTCAAGGACAGCTCTCAATCAATGGGGGATGGAGGCTCCTGCTTTCTATTTTTGGATAGACAGTTTTGGTGGGCATCGTGTATGCTTCTTAGGAGGTAGTAAGTAATGGAAATTAAGCCCCCATTGCCTATAGTAGTGGCCTTGATGGCACAATCTTATATTTGCTCTTTCTCCTTCTCTTTTCCTCTCCTCGGATCACTTCTGCCCTCAGGAATCGCCTCCCAAATAAATTATCTACATACAATCCTTTTATCAGGCCCTGCTTTGGGGGGAGCCAAGATATATATATCAACAAATACTTTTAAATTTTCTTAGGTTCTGTTGATTCATATCTATGGCTTCTGACAACTGAGACCAAGTTAATATCTTTCCTTGGCTATCACTTTTTGAAGAGTGGCTTTGGGTTTTGTCTCTATCCTTCCGTCTTTGCTACTGGAGAACCAATGTACCTATTATCTTGTCCTCTTGCTTCTTCTACCCTTTTTATATTTTAGGGGCATCAAATATACTAAGGATGGATTATCTTTATGCATTTTTATATTGCTCTGATTGCTTTAATTACAGATCTTGAAGCATTTATGAAGAATGTTTTTGTATTTATTGGGCTATATTTTTCTTTCAGACTAGAGTTCTTTGATCTCCTATATGCAACATTCCTTCTCTTCTGTAATTTTCTTTTCCTTCCTCTCTTCTCTGCTTCACTTCTCTCTGTTTGTTTGCCTATTTGTGTTGTTTATTCTTTCTCATCTTGCTCAGGCTTGTCAGTTCTGTCCAAACTCTATATTTGTTCCTGCTTTGTATGGATGGATGACTTCTTCACTCTCCATTTCAGATTTATTCGTGGCTCACCTCACTTTTGTGGTTACAAAAATATAAACTCCACAGCTCTCCATTCCCCTTTTGTCTCTCCAGTGGTCGTGGTGACTTGTAAACATATTCCTGAACTCCAACTTAGCATATTAGATTTCAACTAGCTAGCCCTGCTATTTTTCCATCGGCCCATAAAAGTTCCTTCTCTGATTCTTTCTACCCATGCAACACCAAATCAAGATTTACTTCCTGTACTTTGGGTATGTGTTGTGTTTCTACTAGAATCTGCACTTAGGCTGGAAAGTGCTGAAATTCACTTCTCTGTATACTTTTTCTCTCCTGAAACTCTGTAGCATCACCTATTCATCAATGGAAAAAATAATAATGGAATTTATTCAATTTTTTTTCTCTCTCCAGATTTGGGGTATTAATGAGAATTGTTAATTCAAGTTAGGAACCTTGCCGAACAGGCTGCATCCATTCCTCTTCAGAATCTGCTATATCTTTCCTTGGCTATTACTTTTTAGTTTATATATTTGGACTGTGCCTAGCTGTTGTATTTGTTAACCTACAAATAACCTACATACTTATTACATACCTTCCTTCATCCCTCCTCTCCCTCCTTTTCATTTTAATTTGAAAATAGGTGGGAATTGGGAGATGGGAGTTTATACACAGATGCCTCATTCCACTACTTTATCGCAGAGTATTATTTCTTTTAGGGTTTTGTTTTGTTTTTAATTGTGGGGAAAGAAAGATACATAACATAAAATTTAACATCTTAACTATTTGTAAATGTACAGTTTAGTAGCATTAAATATATTCACATTGTTATGCAACCATCACCACCGTCTCCAGAATTCTTTTAATCTTGCAAAACTGAAACTCTACTCATTAAACAGTAACTCCCCATTGCACCTTTTCTTCCAGTCCCTTCTTTTTGTTTTTTAATTTGCATCATATAAGAATGTTTCTGTGCCTTTTTACACAGAGAGGAATTGAGAGGGATAGAGAGTTAGAAATGTCGATGAGAGAGAAACATCCACCAGCTGCCTCTTGCACACCCCCTACTGGGGATGTGCCCGCAACCAAGGTAGGTGCCCTTGACCAGAATCGAACCCGGGACCTTTCAGTCCACAGGCCCATGCTCTATCCACTGAGCCAAACCGGTTTTGGCTGTATCCCCAATTTCTAGAACAATATCTGACACAAATTAGGTACTCAGATTCTTTATTAATGAATAAAATGAATTATCTTTGATTCCTCAGTGTTTCATCTTTCTTTTAGGAAAAAAACATTAACTCATTTTTAAATTTATAAATATAAAATTCTTTTTTTGAGGGGGTGGGGACAGTTATGTTTGTTACTTATAGTCAAACCCTCTTCTCATCCTCAGTTCCTGGCAAACAAGATTCATTCTTCATCCTTACAGGTTGGGGTTTTCCAGAATTTTTTTTTTAAAATATATTTTATTGATTTTTTACAGAGAGGAAGAGAGGGGGATAGAGAGAGTTAGAAACATCGATGAGAAAGAGTCATTGATCAGCTGCCTCTTGCACACCCCCCACTGGGGATATGCCTGGAACCAAGGTACATGCCCTTGACCGGAATCGAACCTGGGACCTTTCCGTCCGCAGACCAACGCTCTACCACTGAGCCAAACTGTTTTCGGCTTCCAGAATTTTAAATAAATTGAATCATACACTGTATAGTCTTTTGAGTCTGGCTATTGTCACTTGGCATAGTGCATTTGAGGCTCATTTATGTTGTTAAGTGTCTCATTCCTTTTTTTTTTTGCTGAGCACTGTTACATTGAATCTGGAACAAATATATTAACAATCTTGCTCTGTTTTGTTTTGTTTTTCTTTATTTTTAGCTTTCCAGAGTATTGGATCTTCCACCAGAAAACTTGATCAAATCAATATCTGCAGTTCCAATTTCCAGAAAAGAGTTAAGTATAACATATTTGTAATGATATAAAATATTGTTTACTTTATAAATATAGCAAAAAAAAGTTACTCTCCCAATTTATAGAGTAGTCCTTGAAATTAACCTTATTATAATCTGTGTTATTTTGATATTTATGCTAATAACTATAATTATGGCAAAGTCAGAAGAATGAAGAATGAGGTTCAAGTTTAATTGTGTAGCAACAATTAAAAGAACTCTCAGGGTTTTTGAAAGACTTGGAGAGATTATACACCTGATGCTTGAATACTATTGTATATTATTTACTTGCTAGTTTTTTGTTTTGTTTTTTGTTTTTGTTTTTTGTGGGGGGTTTTCCCCCCTCCATTTGAGGACTCAGTGTTACAGGGAACTTTTGGTTATGACTACATGCAACCAATAGTTTGCCTTGTTGGTTGCCAGGGAAAATCTACCTTTTTGTGAGTTTGGTCATTCTAAATGATACTTGTTTACCATTTGACTAGAAAACTTTAATATTTGGATAAAATACCCTTTCAGTCAATTAATAATGATAAGAAATTTGCTAGACATTTAACTCCTAAGCTTTAGAAAAATGTAAAGATATAATCATCAATATCATTATGTCCTTATGTTTTGTCACCTTTGTTAGGATTTTAGATACAATAGGATAAATATCCTTGCTCCCAGAGTAGGACTAAGAGATAAGTGGAAAAGGAAAGGAAAGCTACATGTAGCATTGTTAAAGAGAGCATCTTTAAAATGGCCTGCTGCGCCAAAGCTGGTTTGGCTCAGTGGTAGAGCGTCGGTCTGCAGACTGAAAGGTCCCAGGTTCAATGCCAGGCAAGGGCATGTACATTGGTTGCAGCACATCCCCGGTAGGGGGTGTGCAAGAGGCAGCTGGTCGATGTTCCTCTCTCATCAACGTTTCTAACTCTCTATCTCTCTCCCTTCCTCTCTGTAAAAAAATCAATAAAATATATATTTAAAATGGCCTGCTGCAACTTCCTCTATATTGTGTTCTAAGGCCCACTGACCAAGGGGACCTTATAATTATACTAGAGGCCCAGTACACAAAATTCATGCACTCGGGGAGAGGGGTCCCTCAGCCCTGCCTGCACCCTCTTGCAGTACAGAAACCCTCTGGAGATGTCCAACTGGCAGCTTAGGCCTGCTCCCCACCAGCAGTCGGACATCCTTAGTGCTGTCATGGAGGCGAGAAAGGCTCCCGCCACTGCTGTTACACTTGCCAGCCATTAGCCCTGCTTCTGGCACACTGACCACCAGGGGGAAGCTCCTGCATTGATACTTTGCCCCCTGGTGGTCAGTGCGTGTCATAGCAACTGGTGGTTCTGCTGTTCGGTCGATTTGCATATTAGCCCTTTATTACATAAGATATACACTTATGTAATGTTCCAAACCATTTACCTATTCCATAAATGACATTCTGCATAATCATGGGAATGTCTCTGTTTTTATTTTATGTTTCAAAGAGCTTTAACAAACTGAACTGCCTTGGCCTATCTTTTGAACAAGATTACCTGCCTGGAGCTCCTTTGGGCAGTTCCACTTTAGTACTCTGAAATTCTAAGACTTTGACTTATAGGAAATAAATACTGGGGAGGATCTTAAAATTTTTCTAGGCTACAAGTTTAAAATTATACATATTTATTTAAAACAAAGGGAATTTCTAATGCTTTGTCATAAGAAAGCCAAGTGTCCTTTACAGCACTAAAACCAAGCCTAACTGTTCTAATATTTCTATCGTAATTCTAAAATACTATTAAGTGCCATAGGTTAAGAAATGCTATTTTGGGGGTTAAGAGAGCAACCCAAAGACTTATATGCATGCATATAAGCATAACCCATTGACACAACAGCAAAGGTGTGAAGGTATGTGCTGTAGGGTGGGAATGGCTAAAATTATTGTTCATCATTTTTAAAGGACTAAAAGGGTGATGTTTTAAAATGCGTCCTTCTATCACTGAACTAATTGGGAATATTTGTCATGATTCTATTGAGATAATAAAATTTTTTAATTCAATTGAACTACTTTATTATTCATGTCTAGAATAAATAACTAGAAAATCATGTGACCTCTGTGTTTCCTAGATGTTTTGAGAGCCATCCTATAAGGTTTATGGTCATATTTAATCTTTTACAAATTATCCTCGCTGCATGTTAAAAATCATAGTTTTTTTTAATCTTTATTGTTGAAAGTATTACACATGTCCTCTTTTTAAAAAAAAAATCATAGTTTAATCTTTGGTATATTCAAATCTGTATAATTTCAGTTAACATTGTTAGTATGGATCTTATTTTAATTTAATATTTTTTCATGAGAAAAAATCTTTGTGTTTATTAGTCCCTTTTGTTAAATTTATATTTTCAATGTCCCACATTATTAGCACAAATATTTGACTAAGCTGTCAGAGTCTTTTGGAAAGAATAGGTAAAATAAATTCATCTAGACCTTATATGAGTTTCCAGAGTTAAAATTAATCTTTAGAAAATAAAATTGTCATTTTATCATTAAAGAATAGTCTTAGGGGAAAAAATAGAGTACAGTTTGCCAACCAAGCTAGTGAAGAACTACAGACAGAATAATTCCCAGGGCTCAGCACTGGTACTATTAGACATTTTTACTTAACATCAGAATTAAGATCAGTATTATTTAACTAGAATTTAAATTTTTAGCAACACTATGAAGTAGGTACTATTAGTACCATTTTACTCAAGTTACAAGGGAGGTATAAGCAACATGCCCAAGATCACACAGACACTGATTAATAGATGAATTTGGGCCTGTACTTACAGTTTAAATGTCGGTAGATGATTTTGAGTAGGTACGTATAATTCACACTAGGCTGCTGGATAATGGATTAAGGCTCAAGAAAATTCTTAATGGTCATTGTTGACTAGGTTCTTTAATGTGCTGTTAAACAAAAGATACACAGGATTTTTTAGGGACATCTCTAATTTGAAGAGTGATAAGAACTGAGTCTCTTGTTCCCCTCTAAAATGTGTCTTGTGTCAATCAGAATGGGCTAGCCGCTAGCCCACATGTGTCAAACACAAGGCCCGCAGGCCAAATCCGTCCCGCCAGGCCTTGCAATGTGGCCCGCACCGCGCTGTCATCACTGCACTCCGCTGCGTTTCCATCACAATGACAGTTTATGACTGTTCAGTAAACCATTCGGCCCTCGATTTAGGCTGGATTTTAGATTTTGGCCCCTTCTCTGATTGAGTTCGACACCCCTACGCTAGACAGTGATTTAACCCACTTACTCTGCCCATAAAATCTCATTCTTTGGTTTCTTATTAAATGTCAGATTTCAATATGGGTAATTATGTAGGTGTTTCTATATCAATTAAAATTATTTTGCATTTTGCCGAAACCGGTTTGGCTCAGTGGTAGAGCTTCGGTCTGTGGACTGAAAGGTCCCGGGTTCGATTCCAGTCAAGGGCGTGTAGTACATTAGTTGCGGGCACATCCCCAGTAGGGGGTGTGCAAGAGGCAGCTGGTCGATGTTTCTCTCTCATCGACGTTTCTAGCTCTCTATCTCTCTCCCTTTCTCTCTGTAAAAAATCAATAAAATATATATTAAAAAAATAAAAACAAAAACAAAAAATTATTTTGCATTTTGACCTATTGTAAACCTACAAAAAATTTATAGAAAACAATGTAATAAACACTCATGTGCTTACTTTCTAATAAGTCAGATCTTAATTTTTTCCAAAGTGGCTGCTCTTCCTATCTCACAGAGATATTACAAAGCTACAATTAGGTAATAGAAGAGGAAGAATTTCATAAGATGATAAAAGATAAAGTTCTAAATAAATACAAGGTGATGATATTTCTAATTATTTTATATATTAAAAGCATAATACCTTGTTCTTATAAAATTAGGTCAATGTGGGAAACTCATAGTGATTAATCTTTGTTATATTAATAATGTTTGTAGGGCAATAACAGTTTTTTCCCTTCTTCTTTAGAGGAGTAGCTGATTTTCAGCTTTCTGTGGATTCTCTGTTGGGGAACAATGAGAATTCAGGACCAAGACCAGATATTCAAGTTCAAGCCACACAACTGGCAGAGAAGGTACTTTAGCACTATTACCTTTTTTTTTTTTTTTTTTTTTTTATAATACAATTATTATTTTACAAAAGAAAATACTCTGCAGGTTATCTCGGCCATAGTAATGAATTTAGTGTTTCTTTGTTGAAAGCACCTTGGAAAATATACTTTAAATTCATTTTAGCCATGTACTGTATGACTAGGGTGATTTTTTAAGTTAGTTATAGAGAATTCTTCTTGAGCTGACATTGTTCAGTTTTTTGTTTTTTTTAATTAACTACTTAACAGGAGGACTGAAGTGTTAATTAAATTTACAGATTGATGCTGGTTAGACTTCTGAATTTAGGAGAACAAGGTTGATAATTAGAGAAATGGGTTGCACTTTTTAAAATGAGTTTCTGAGAAAATGAACATTAAAATATGAAGAGAAATTATTAGATTGCAATAGAATTATGATTGTAGAGAGAAAGTGGTTAGATGATCTAATAAACCTCTTTCATGTCTAATTTCTTTGATGAATTTGGTACCAAAAGAGGAACTGAAAAGATTGTAAAGAATGACCAAGTTGTTAGTATAATACCACCAGAAAAGGCAGGTGTTGCACAAATTGTTTTTTGTTTTTTTTAAATATAGTTATTACAAAAGAGGTATCTGGATACTCTGAAGAATTGGAACAATGGAAGTCATTATCATAGAAAAAGATGCTTAAAGAATGAATGGTGATAAAGGAGTTTTGGTAGCTGAGTATTTATTTGATCAAAAACCATCCCAGATTTTTATCAGGAAGTAAATCAGGAATAGAATCATCCTAATTACAGTATTTAGTGTCAAAATAAAAACAAGTGATTCTTCAGTGACAAGTGTTTTTCAAGTTCCATGGATATATCAGGTGCTTTGAATATCTAGTTGGTTAAAATTTTAAGACATATTCACTGAAGACAAAGTATTTAAGTTATTTGCATTTTATGTGTTGACACTAGTGCTTTAGCATAGGCCCCAACATAATGTCTTGTTCTGTGGCTTTTGCGACAGGTGGGTGAGATAAAAAGAATTCATTGCATTCATTGCATAGCGTGGGAGTGAGTGATGCTCTCTCCCGTGTCAGATGGAGAATTTGAGGCGAGGGAATGAGAAAGAGGAAGAGTCTCGGAATACAGAATAGTATTCTACTAAGTAAAGAAGAAAACATGTTTACCCAAATAGAATGAATGATTTGAGGGACTGGCTAAGTCCTGGGTCCAGATATTAAGACAGAGAGATGATGTACCTTTTGTCTTTGGACAGTTGAAAATCTAATAATTTTAGAACTACAACTCTTACTGGGCTTACTTTATAATATAGCTAGCTATTTTACTTGATCTGTTATCTTTTCAGCTAAAATGTGATACAGTGGTGACTGAAATCAGCACTGGTCAAGGGACTGTAAATTTCAAAATAAACAGAGAACTGTTAACAAAGGTAAGAATGGGTTATGTTTTAGCTCTTGCATCTTCACTCTCTGCTTTAGCTACAGTGGTTTCCCTCCAATTCTTAAACTTATGTGCCTCTTCTTGCCTCAGTATTTATGCACATTCTAATGCCTCTGCCTGGAATGCCACCCCATGTTAACTCCTGCTTATCCTTCAGATCTTGATGTTCCCCGGGCAGTGGCCTTCTGACCCCTTCATTTGTACACTCCCATATCACTGTACATCTCTCCTTATAGAACTTACCATAGCTAATTTACATTCTTTTTATTTAATTAATGTCTGTGAGCTTTAAACTCTAATTTCCATTAGAGCTTATAGTTTCTGCTTTTCTCACTCACTATTGGGTCCCCAGTTCCTAGCACAATGCCTAGTGTGTAGTAGATGTGAGATAACTATTGCTGAATGGATTAATGGGCTCTGTATCGAATGTAAGAAAGGTTTTGCTGGTTTCTGCTCTCTGGTAGCCAGTATTCTATAGGAAGCATAAGAATCATACAAATGCAACCATAAGACAGCTTTTATTTTATTTTTTTAAATAAAACAATAAATAGTTCTGGCAAATGTGGCTCAGTTGGTTGGAGTGTAGTCCTGTATACCAAGAGGTGGTGGCTTCAATTCCTGGTCAGGGCACATACCCGGGTTGCAGGTTTGATCTCTGGCCAGGGCACATGCTAAGTGCGGGAAGTAACTGATTGATGTTTCTACCTCCTTCCCATATCTCTAAGATCAATAAAAAAAGAGAGGGTTTTTTTTTTTGTTTGTTTTCTTAAAAACAAAACAAAACAAAAACACACACACACAAAACAATAAATAAAGATGATTGGTACAATAAGATTAAGAAAGATCAAAGATGGAAAAAATCAGAATGGCCTAGAGCAGTGGTTGACAAACTCATTAGTCAACAGAGCCAAATATCAAGAGTACAACGATTGAAATTTCTTTTGAGAGCCAAATTTTTAAACTTAAACTTCTAACGCCACTTCTTCAAAATAGACTCGCCCAGGCTGTGGTATTTTGTGGAAGAGCCACATTCAAGGGGCCAAAGAGCCGCATCTGGCTCGAGAGCCACAGTTTGCCAACCACAGGCCTCGAGGATTGGGGAAATCACATAGAGGAATTGGGTATCACATTAGTAAGGCCATGGAGGACATGTAATTCTGGATAGGCAGTGGTATGAGATCTTTTGTTGAGAATTTCATCTCAAACATTAAAATTTATCATAATGCAGGCTTTGTTGTAGTATGTAAAAAAAAAATCACACCAGTATTGAGATAGTCACCTTAGTAAATGCTGCTTTTTTAATTGAAAATAACTATAAAACCAAAATTCCTACTAATATATTTTTTTCACTGAAAGAGAAATAGTGTTTCATACTTGTCTCTAGATCTTTTAACTTTTTTTCTATTATTTTTTTTCACTCTTACTTCAAGGAAATTAATTAGCCAAAATCAGTCACAAGGACAAGAAGGAACAATTTTTTTTCAGCTTTTTATAAAGTGTCTACAACATGCTGGGCTCTTGATAACATTTCATGCCAATTAAGCAAACCAGTGAGTCTAATTTACCATTTTTTAAATAAGTGACTTTTCTAATTGTTGACTTAATTTTATTGAAGTATAAGTACAGCTCATCAAAGTGCCTACCAAATTTTAGGCCATTTGGTAAGCAGCAATATTGTACTGTTTTTGTTTTTTCTAAGATGGGAAAATGTACTAGGGTAAATGGAGTTTGCCTTTACAGCTGACTTAGCTGAAAGAGATGTAATATATATTTTAAAATTGTAAAATAGTCTTTTTGGGGGCCTCTTCTATATTTTATCAACCAATGGCAGTAGGCTCTAGATTTTTAATTTTTTGGTTTTTTATTTATATTTTTATTTAAATTACTAGAAGCCCGGTGCATGAAATTTGTGCATGGGGGTTGGGGGTGTCCCTCAACCCAGCCTGTATGTACCCTCTCCAATCTGGGACCCCCTTGAGGGATGTCTGACTGCCCATTTAACGGACAGTTTGACATCCCTCTCACAATCCAGGACTGCTGGCTCCCAACTGCTCACCTACCTGCCTTCCTGATTGCTCCTAACAACTTCTGCCTGCCAACCTGATCACATTCTAACCACTCCCCTGCCAGCCTCATTGATCCCTACCAGCCTGTTTGCCCCTAACTGCCCTCCCCTGAAGGCCTGATCCCCCACAACTGCCCTTCCCTGCAGGCCCGGTTGTACCCAATTTACCTCCTCTGCCAGCCTACCTGGTCGCACCTAACTGCCTTCCCCTGCAGGCCTGATCACCCACAACTGCCCTCTCTTGTAGACTTGGTCCCTTTCAAACCCCCCCCCACCCCCACTGGCCATCTTGCGTACACATGGGGGCAGCCATCTTGTGTGTTGGAGTGATGGTCAATTTGCATATTACTCTTTTATTAGATAGGATAGAGGCCTGGTTCATGGGTGGGAGCCAGCTGGTTTACCCTGAAGAGTGTCCCGGATCAGGGTGGGAGTTCCCTTGGGATGTGGGGTGGCCTGGGCGAAGGTCCTGTGGTGGTTTGCAGGCTGGCCATGCTCCCCAGCAACTCAAGTGGAGGCCCTGGTATCTGGGATTTATTTATCTTCTGTAAATGAAACTTTGTAGCCTTGAATGGAAGCCTAGGCCAGTCTGGGCTGTTGAAGCTTGGCTTCCTCCATCGCCAGGGGAAACTCAAGCCTCCTGCTCTCTCCAGCTCCGGGGCTGCTGCCATTTTTGTTGGGATTTATTTATCTTCTATAATTGAAACTTTGTACCCTTGAGCAGAGGACTGGGCCTGCCAGGGTGTGTGAGAAGTTTGGCTTCTTCCATTGCCAGGGAAACCCAAGCCTCCTGCTCTCTCTGTGGCGGCAGCCATCTTGGTTGGGTTAATTTGCATACTTGTTCCTAATTGGCTGGTGGGCATGGCTTTGTGGATGTAGAAGAGGTGCAATCAATTTGCATATTACTCTTTTATTAGATAGGATAATTTTTAAAATATATATTTTATTGATTTTTTTACAGAGAGGAAGGGAGAGAGAGAGCTAGAAATGTCGATGAGAGAGAAATATCGACAAGCTGCCTCTTGCACACCCCCTACCGGGGATGTGCCTGCAACCAATGTACATGCCGTTGACCGGAATCAAACCTGGGACCTTTCAGTCCGCAGACAGATGCTCTACCACTGAGCCAAACTGGTTTTGGCTAGATAGGATAATTTTTAAATGCTAATACTTCTTTCTCAAAGTCTAATTCTTCTACATTCTTTTCAGCCCTTAAACAGTGGTCATTTGCATGTCTAATGAATTTCTCAGATCACGTCAAGAAAAAATTCAACCCTTTTAGGCCTTTTCTTTTTTTTTTTTTTTTTTTTTTTCATTTTAGAGTTGGCAAGATTGACAAGAAGCCAATGATCTATGTCCAGAATTTATTCCTCAAGCAGAGAATTGTGAATTTGTCATTGCTTACACGTGTATAAACTTAGACTGAATGAAACATTATCTGTTTGTGAATTGCAATTGAATTATTAGCACTGGCAGCACCAGGGATGATTAAATATTAGCTTATGTTTGGATCACACATAGTAGCTTAAAATCTCTTCATATAAATCATTCTCAAGGGTAGAAGGCTAAAATATGAAATTAAAGGCAATATAAACTGCCAAATATCTTGGACTAGACCATAAATTTTCAAAGCTAGAAGGTTATGTGACCAGTTCATATACTATGAAGAACTATCACTTTGGTACCAAACTTCCACCTGTTAGTAGCTTATGGATTACTTTCAAGAGAAACTATAACTTTATTATAGGAAGAGAAAAAGAAAAGAGTTTAAATAGGAAAAAGGGTAAACAAAATCCTGTTTTTTAGGTGTGCCCTAGAAATACACAGCAGATGACATTATTTTATTTTACAAGAACACATACATTCTTTATTTGCCAAATTCAACTGTGTGTGCTTTGTAAAAACTTGAGGAGAAGAAAAAATGATACTAATTTAAGTGGTTCTAATTCTGCTCATTATTTCACTAATTAAGTTTGTCAGTAGGCATTCAGGATGCATTTAAGTTAGGGGTGTCGAACTCAATCAGAGAAGGGGCCAAAATCTAAAATCCAGCCTAAATCGTGGGCCGAATGATGGAAACACAGCAGAGTGCAGTGATGACAGCGCGGTACGGGCCACATTGCAAGGCCTGGCGGGACGAATTTGGCCCGAGGGCCTTGTGTTTGACACATGTGATTTAAGTCATGTGTAGTGCTAGTTGGCTGAACACATGGAAAGAATGAATGATTAAACACTTCTCTACTTTTGACCAAAGAATTGACTAGACTAATAGTTAGTGGTAGCTTGCTTACAAAACCTCATTGAGAGCTGTAGAGAAATAGCAACCAACAGAGTTAGATAAAATGACAAAAGTCATCCACAGGAAAAGTGATGGTGATAGACAAACAAAGAGCATCAGCCAATTAAAATATTAATTTGCTAAAGCATTCCAAAAAGTAAAACCTTTCAAAGATTTAATTTTTTATTATAAACTCAAGATGTACCTAAGTTTACTGAGTATATTTTACGTTTAGACATACATGTTGATGAATTGATTGGCCTCTAGCTTGTTCATCTATTGGAATATGAAGAAACTTTACTAGCTTACTGGCATTCTATAGTTAATAGTTTTATTCTGTGTAGCTACTAATTTAATGAACCTGCTTATTATTTATCAAAGACTATATTATTAAAATCTACATATATCCTGCCTTTTAGGAACTTACAGTAAAAAAGAAAAGCATAGCCCTAGCTGGTTTGGCTCAGTGGATAGAGTGTCGGCCTATGGACTGAAGGTCTAGGTTTGATTCCTGTCAAGGGCACATGCACAGGTTGAGGGCTTGATCCCCAGTGGGGTGCATGCAGGAGGCAACCTATCAGTGATTCTCATCATCGATGTTTATCTCTTTCCCTCTTCCTTCCTCTCTGAAATCAATTTTAAAAAATATTAAGAAAGAAAGAGACAGAACCAAGATGGTGGCATAAGATGGCATTGTCTGGAAATCAGATGATTATGTTTTGCGCACAGGATGGTATGGGAGAAGATATGAAATTATATACTGTGAAAGGCCTTATATGCTCTGCATAAAGAATGTTAGCTTTTTCTATGTAATCATTTTTCATGGTATGCTATGTGTACCACAGCTGGTAGATGTGATTTTTGATATTACACTAATGAAATTTCGTTTTAATCGTTATACAGTTGACTCTTAAACAATACAAGTTTGAACTGTGTGGGCCCACTTATATGTGGATTCTTTTTATTTTTTTATTGATTTTTTTACAGAGAGGAAGGGAGAAGAATAGAGAGTTACAAATATCAATGAGAGAGAAACATCCACCAGTTGTCTCTTGCACACCCCCCACCAGAGATGTGCCCACAACCAATGTACATGCCCTTGACCGGAATTGAACCTGGGACCTTTCAGTCCACAGACCGATGCTCTATCCCACATGTGTCAAACACAAGGCCCGCGGGCCAAATCCGTCCCGCCAGGCCTTGCAATGTGGCCCGCACCGCGCTGTCATCACTGCACTCCGCTGCATTTCCATCACAATGACAGTTTATGACTGTTCAGTAAACCATTCGGCCCGTGATTTAGGCTGGATTTTAGATTTTGGCCCCTTCTCTGATTGAGTTCGACACCCCTACTCTATCCACTGAGCCAAACCGGGTTTCAGCTATATGTGGATTCTTTTAATAAATACTGTAAATGTATTTTCCTTATGATTTTTTTAATGTTTTTTTCCTCTAGCTTTCTTGTAAGGATATAAATACAAAATATATAAATACAAAAATGTGTTAGTTGACTTCATTGGTAAGGCTTCCAGTCAACAGTAGGGTATTAGTAGTTTTTGAGGAGTCAAAAGTATACATGCATTTTTGATTGCACTAGGAGTCAGCGCTCCTAGCCCCTTACATTCTTCAAAACCCAACTGTGTATTTATATGTACATTAGAGGCCCGGTGTACGAATTTGTGCATGGGTTCCTTGGCCTTGCTGGCAATTAGGGTTGATTGGGGCCTGCTGGCTGGGGGGAGGGACCCCAGGAAGTTGTCCAGCCAGCCAAGAGAGGACCACAAGAGGTTGGCCGGCAATGCCTATGGGAGCACACGGACTTCCAGGGGGCAGCTCCTTCATTGAGTATCTGCCCCTGGTGGTCAATGCATGTCATAGTGACCAGTTGCTTAGGCTTTTATAGAGACATTATATAATAAGGCAGTTAGGTATTACTGTTTTGTAGTGGTGTAGCTGAGATATGATGAGGGTGTAAACCAGGCCAGAGGATAACTATAATGATATTTGAGAGAGAACATGAACAGGGCTTGGTGATTAATAGATTATTAGTTGTGAATATTAGGTAAATATTAGGAACTCCTAGGTTTCAGACTTGGTTAGCTGGGGTTAAAATTCATGGAAATGGAGAATGCAGAAGGAAGAGAAGTATACTATTTTGTTTGAAGCGCCTGAGAGAGCTGTCTAATCCTGAGCTGTATATATCAGTCTGTGGCCCAGGAGAGATTTTGTTAAGTAATAGTTGAAGTTTTAGCAATTCATAACTAGGAAATGTGTAAAGTAAGGAGCTAGAAGCAAGAAGTAGTGCAGGGTGGAGAGTAGGGCAGGGCGGGGGACAGACAGTGGAAGAGGAACCTACAACGGAAACTGAAGCAAAAATCAGTAGAGAGTGATGTCATTACAACCAAGGAGGGAGAGTAGTTGCAAGGAGAAGAGAGTACTCATCAGCTAAGATGGTGTTTGAAAGTGGTTACCCCTGGAGAAGGCCAGAAGGGACCGAGGAGGTTAGAGTGGATGATGAAAAGCAACCCTAGACTTTAGCTTTACCTTAATTGTTTAATTGTTTATTTGTTCATTTTACAAAACAATGTATTCATAAAAGTAATATATTAAAATTTAAGCATTCATTTAGGTTTGGCATTTGGAATTTTGATTTGGAGAGCACTTTCAGTAAAATAGTAGGAAAAAAAAGCTCCAGGTGGCAGATATGTCAAATTGTTAAAGGAATGTTTGGAAGTGAAATATATAAGATAGTTTTTAATTAAAGTTATTTTTTTTGTTTGTGCCAGAGAAATCAACAAACTGAGAGTCACTTGTAAAAGAGAATTCTAATTTATTGCTATTACCACTTATGGAGTCTACCGTCCATTACAAGAAAAGGAATGGAAAGTGAAAAAGATAGATAGACTTTAACTTGAAAATAATCTTGAGAATGAATTTCTTCTCACTGTTTACTTCCCCACTTGCAGTCTTCTTATTGCCCACATTCTTGGAGTAATTAACATTTAATAGGCCCTTAGTGTATGACAGACACTATTCTCTTTAATGTCTATATATCTATTAATATTTTATCTCTGTGTCCTGTACAATGTGGGTGAAGAAAAGATTATTTTCTCTGTGTCCTTGGGCAAATACTGTTTCTAAACCTTAGTTTTTATAGCTATTGCTCATCTCTAAGATTGTGGGGCTTAGAGATAACATAAAAGCATCTAGACTTGAACCTAGCACTCTGTAGATGTATCCTAAAAGTATTGCTTTGCTATTATACTTCCTTTTACCTCTCTGCCTTTTCCTTAAGTGACCATCTTAACCAACACTGTGATAATATAATTCTTTACATCATAAACTGCATATTTAGGATTCAGAATCCAATTTGAGAAGCAAAACTGATATAAGAGTAAAGTCTATCACAATAAATTTAAAGCCCTAAAGTAAATAAATCATCACCATTATCAAAGAAAAGTAATAACATATGAATTTTGTGAACTATACAATAGTTCTGTGTTAACTAAAAATTAACCTGGAATATGTTTTGGCAGTTTCTGTATGATTTCCTGTTTTTATTATGCAGCCAATAAGCATTTGAATTATATTTTATTTGTTTTCTACATTGCATGTGATCATTAGTATCAAAAAGTAGCAGCATACAATAGTTAGCTATGGGATGAAAACAATTTTTGCTACATGACTTACTAGCTGAATGACCTTGGAAAGTTACTTAACCTCTGTGCTTTTATTTTCTCATTTGTAAAAATGATACTTATCCCTTAAGATTGTTGTGAAGATGAAATAAGTAAATACATAGAAAATACTTAGAGTAGTACCTGACACATAGTATGCAGTCAATAAATATTCAGATGCTGCTTCTGATTTCTTTGTTACTACTTTCTGTGAGACTTTTAGCAGTTACTTAACCTCTCTAAACTTCAGTTTTTTCACCTGTAAAATATTTACTGTACTTCATCAATCACTGTGAAGAGGAATAGACAGGATGTATAAAAGTGCAAAAATATGAACTCAAGAAGGTGAGGCTGCTGACAGTTCCACAAATTAAAATGAGCAAATTAGCAAACATTTAGTTTCCAGTAGCGGAGTACTTAAGGAAACTACAGATTATTTTCTATCATTAAATCCCAACCTTTACTTTTCAGACAGTGCTAAAACAAGTTATCGAAGATGGTTCAAAATATGGATTAAAAAGTGAGCTTTTCTCTGGTCTTCCCCAGAAGAAGATCGTGGTTGAATTCAGGTTAGTGCCTATTCTTCTTATGTGTTCATTAATCAATTAGCTGAGCAAGTGAGTGTTTTACTATCTATAATAATAAAAGCATAATATGCTAAATAGATGGGATGTTCTTCTGGACAACCTTCCAGACAAAGCCTGGGTCCCAGGTGCCAGAGGGAAGCCGGTGCTGACAGCTGGGGGACTCTAGTTGCCATATAAGGTCTCACAAAATAATGTCTTTAAATTGATGCAGAACACAGCACCTTCTTCTCTAAAGAGACATTTCAGTACTATATTACTCACGCTCCTTACTGTTACCTAACCAATAGTACAGGAAAATCAGCAGGCAGGTGGTACAGTATCTGTTCCCGTGCATACATCCTTGAAATAATGTCACTGTGAGTTTCTTGAAATTTGAAAAGTTGCCACCAGTGCTCACTTCTAACACCTTTCTCATTTTCACTTCACTGTCACCATCTCTCCTTCCCAACCATGCTCAAAATACCAAAACCTTAGTCTTTCCTACTCATTGATTCTCTGGCTTTTCTCCTCAGTTTTCATTTCCCATACACAGTCAAACCTCGGTTCTCTAATGTCTCCCATCTCGAATAATTCGCCTCTCGACCCGACAGCCTTTCATGCTCATACCTGTATGATCAGTCACATCTCTGGGATGATAAAGGAAAGAATGTGCAAGTATGAGTCAGTTTACTACTAAACCTCACATTGTTAACATCACTGGAAAATGTGCTGTGAATATTTTTGTGGCTTTTTTTGCTTTTGTTACTATTTATTAAATTTTCATTTTTTACTGTACATTTTATTTCCTTTTATTAAATTTCAATTTATATTTTATGTCCTTTTTGTTTTTAAAGTATTTGTTTATAGATTAAATAGTTCCTTAGACATGTACTATATATAAGAAAGGATAAAAATGGAATCATTTGGGAGTCTGAAACAGATTAATTCAATTTAAATTTTTTTATAATGGGAAATAATGATTCAGTTTTCGAACAGCCTTCCAGAATTAAGTTCAAGAATCAAGGGTTCACTGTACTGCTCTTTTTGTTTATGCTTGTAAGAATGTCTAAAAATAACATTATCCTTTTGAGTTGTATTCTGTAGGCTTTTTCATTGGTGCTATTTGCCTATGGATTTGCCCCTCTCAAGTTTTTTCCTATAGCAGTTAAGGAGGGCTAGAACTTAAATGATTATTTGAATGCTGATGAAGGCAGGGTCCCTTTCCCAGCAGCCATCTTTGCTCTGGCATTGCTGTGGGATGACCATAGCTGCCCCTCACTTAGAAGTTTTCTAATTACTGTGGTACTTACCACTGTGGTTTCAAAGTAGAGACACAAAAGGTGGGTGATGCGGCAAAATGATAGAAAACATTGTTCTTTAATTTCTCTTGAAAATGAGAGAGATGACAGAAGAGAATGTTTTAAATATATACTATCTTAAATAGATTAGGCAATTTTCCCCACAAAAGCAAGAGATATAATCACTGTGCTCAAGAAGCTTGCTCCTTGCATTAAGATGTTGATGATAATAGGTCAGCTAACTTGCTTAGGGTCATAGCACTAACTCTGATTCTGAAACCTACATATGTAACCTTTACTGCCTCCTCGAAACAGTGTTGTCATAATATTTTGTCAGATGTAGGAGCAATGTGATGAAGTACCAGAGTAGATAACTATACCTGGTAGGTGGTGTAAAACTTGCAGATAACTACTATTGTCTCTCTCCTCTCTGCAAAGTCAGCCTTTCTTATTTTGTTCAGGTCAAAACTGCAGGAGCACAGCCAGCAGTGGTAGCTTTTCCTCTTCTTTCCTCAACACAGTCTTCTCCCACCCTGAGGTGTTCTCAGAAAACAGATTGAGGACCTCTGATAGGTAAAATGAGAATCCAAAAGATGAGAGTACCAGTTCTGACTGTTAGTACCTGATTTGGTGATCTCAGATTAGATAGTTTTATTTCCCCTGGTCTCCTTTTTTATCTGGAGAAGTAGAGGCCCTGTGCATGAAAATTCATGCACTGGAGGGGGTCCCTCAGCCCGGCCTGCCCCTCTCACAGTCCGGGCGCCCTCAGGAGCAGGAGGCGACCCAGCAATCGGGAAGGCGATGCCCCATCACACCTCTGCTGCTGCTCTAAATTTCTAATTTTTAACTTATGTTTGCCCTAAATTACCAAAAGCCTTAGTCCCCAATTGTACTGAACTATGGAAGCATGACCTAGTTCACTTAGAACTTTTGTTCTTAAAAAATATATATAACTTTTGCAATTATTTGCAGTTCACCTAACGTTGCCAAAAAATTTCACGTTGGGCATTTGCGTTCTACCATCATAGGTAAGTTGTTTCACAGAAAATATTAAGCATGTCTTTGGGGCACTATTTGATGATACAGTCTAATGGTTTAGTGCTTAAATAGCAATAGGACAAAAAAGTTTAAGTTTATTTGAGCTTGGTGCTCATTAAATATTACATGAAATGGGAAAAACTGGGTTAGAAGTAGAAAAAAGAAATTTGTTTAAAAACTTAAAGATTAACTCAGAAAACAGTTTTAACTGAAATGTTTGTTATTATTTTAACTTTAAAAAATATTTATGCATGTGGAGAAAATATTTATGTGATAATGATAATAAGCTCCCCCATTTTTTTATTCATATATTCTGTTTTAAAATAGAAACTGTTGCCTGGCCGGCCTGGCTCAGTGGTTGAGCGTTGACCTATGAACCAGGCAGTCACAGTTCAGTTCCCCCCATCAGGATGCCCAGGGTACAAGATCGATCTCCAATAGGGGGTGTGCAGGAGGCAGCAGATCAATGATTCTGTCTTATCACTGATGTTTCTATCTAGACTATGGATGAGGAAATGCAGATACCAAAAAGTAACTTATCCAAAATCACACAGCTAGCTAAGTATAATAGCCAGGATTGGAAATTAGACAGTCAGTTCCAAAATCCTAAATTAAGTCTTTCAGTTGGATTTGTAATGTAATAAGATGTTAAGAAAAAATAAGAATACAGTCTGAGTACCATCTGAAGAAGGTGGTTCCTGTTGCTGGGACTCTATAGGTTGGGAAGGCCTTGAAATAGGGAAGCTGCAGTAATTTAAGTCAGATATACATATAGGTGAGTGATTACATGGAGAAAACTGGATCTACTCTAGTAAAAGCAGGAAGGGATTTACTATAGGATATTGACTAATTTATCAAGTTGTTGGGAGTGCTGAAGAAGCTTTGGATTAAGCTGGCAAAAATTATTCCTAAAACTATAGCATGAGTTTGGTCATCAAGGAGCATCTCCCTTTTCTGCAATCACTTCCACTGCTTTAGAACCATGTTGCCACTACCGTAGTCAGGAAACTCCCACTAGTCCTGCCTTGCCTTCTAGAATTCATACTAGCAAAAGAGGCAGCCCCATTCATTCTCAGTCTTTCAGTTACCTTGGAGGATACATGGTAGGACACCAGGTCCTGTATTTGTGATGACGTACACACCAGCCCCACAACTATGTTTGTCAGAAATAATGGAAGTAGCCCCCATTCCACCTTCTGAATCTCATGCAAAGTATATCTGTTTGGCTAAAGCTAAATTACTTCTGGAACTCTAACTGCCAAAGATTCTGGAAAATGTAATTTTTAGGTTTCTAAGCCTCTGCAGTATGTTGAATGCACACTAGAAGGAAAATGAAATAGATGTGGAATATCAAAGCAATATCAGCAGTTCCGGAAAGCCTTGGACTGCTGTGTGCTGTTAGGGAGCAGGCATGAGAAGGTGGACTTCAGTGATTGGAATAAGTTAAAGTGAGCTATTTAAATCTAAAACCAGTATGGCTCAGGTTCTGTAGGGCACAGCCAAATTATTTTTTATTAATTACTAAAACGATATTATTTTCTGCTCTTGGGATTAACTTGGAATAGCAATTACCCTAAAGTGATCCCAACTCCCATTAATGTTAATGAAAATTCTGTTCTTATGAAAGTTAGTGGATACCTTGTAATAACCACCCACCCAATAATTTCTTACTTTCCATAACATAGATGAAAACATAATAATGAATGTTGTAGTAAATACAACAACAACAACAAAAACCTGAGCTAGTAAATTTGCCAAAGGAATTTTCTGTGTTATATTTTGATAATAGAGAAGCACATGGTTCTTATGCCAAAATGGTTAACAAGAATGAGAAACTGTATATTTTATTCATTACTAGGAAATTTCATAGCAAATCTCAAAGAAGCTTTAGGACATCATGTAACCAGAATAAATTACCTTGGAGATTGGGGTATGCAGTTTGGTAAGTAAGTTTGAGATCTTACTTTTCATTTCACTGTTAAATATAATATGTTTTAATATCATGCCACTTGGTTATCTGCACAGAATATAAGCAGAATCCCATTAGATAAAATAGCGCCTCCTACATTTTCCCCCCCTTAGTGGCTCTTTTGCATAAATTTTGTATTCTATTTTTTTAGAATAATTCTCACCACACAAGTAAGTTTGGCTGAGGAAACTTCACACATTCAGAGAAACATCTGATAATACAGGACTTTTGTGGTCTTATTAAAGAAAAATAGCTTATATTTGTGAGTTAATGGAGGAGTGTGTATACAGGGAAGAAGATAGGTCTAGTGGTGTACACCCTTGTCAACCACAGCCCTTCCTGGGCCATTATACGTGAAAGTTGATCTGTTTTTATATCCTGGGCCCATAGTCTAGAGAGGAAAGGAAAACAAAAGGGTAAAGAGGAGTGAGATCCAGACAGATTAAGTGCCACAAATGATCTCCAATGTCAAGTTCAATCAGAATCATTCCTAGCTCCTATACACCAATAATTAAGGTATAAGAAGGGCAAGATAAATGTAGTTGCTAAGGCAGTAAAGAACTAATAGCATGTGAGTGCAAATTTTTTAAAATCTCTGGCAACTACTATGTTTGTTTTAAGATCTAGCCCTTACAGTGTCATCTCTAAAGCATTCTGACACCCAGACACACCCTTGCCCACCTTCTTCCATCACCAAGTTCCTAGTACCTAGCTCTATTGAAATAGGTTTCTGTTTTACTGTCTTCTTATTTTTGTCCTCTCCCTGCTAAACAATATATATATATATATATATTGAGGGCAGGAAGTATGTCTTAAATATCTTTGTATCCATATTGCCTGGCACATAAAAGGCACTTAGAATGATGAATGATTGTCTTGGAAAGTATTTTACAATCCTAATCCAAGAGAAAGGCTAGGTAATATTTTAAATTTCTCTAAAATGCAGTGTACACTGCTAGTTCTAAAGTTCACTGATAATAGTATGTTCCATATCTAATGAAATTAAATCAAAGCTTTCAAAAGATAGACTTATCAGAACCTTCTCTTGTGAGTATTATACTTTTAGTTAATAAAAATATTTTTTAGACCTTACAATGGATAAATTTGAACCTGTTAATAGTGCCCTTGTATTCACTGTGGAGGAATCAGAAAGCATGCCCTGCATTTTAAAAATCCATCTGTAGTTTGCAACAGCTGGCAGAGGTTTAGGCTCTAGGCTCAATAGTCAGACTAATAGATGGTGTCTACTTTATATTAGTTTGACTGATTTAAGCATTTTACAGGCATTAGCAAATGTGTCATGATGATATTCATGGAATTTTAGCTGCAGGATTTTATTGTAGTTGTTTTTCTCTAAAGGATTACAGTGCTTAATGACCTGTTAACATTTCCATTATAACGGTCATTGTTGAAGAGTTTTAATTTTGGTTGTTTCAGCTATCCCCTATTGAAAGTTGGCAGACATGCCTAGGCACAGAGGTTTTGAAAATATATTAGGTGTAATGTTAAATGGAATTGGCCTTTTCCAATTTCTGTTTTTTAGAACACTGTGAATCTTTCCACACCCTGCTTACTCCCAAAACCTTGAATCACAATCATATTTGCTTTTGCTTAAAAGCGAATAGAGCTGGTACATATTTAATCATCCTTCTAGTACCTGTCTAAGCTCCAAAGTATTGTATATATAATGTGTCAGTAGCATCCCACTTTCTGCTGAGCCTATGTAGAAAAATGTACCCCAGTCAGCAAAGCCCAGTGGCAGTAGCTCCTTTAGAGCTGAAGTTTGGTAACTGATACAGTTGTAGAAACAGATATTTTTTAAAAATAATTAAACTACTTTTTGTTGCTGTTGATCCCAGGTTGCAGATATCCTTTCAAACTGAAATTGTGATAATCTTTTAGCAAAATATTTTAAGAGTATAAATATTCACGGTCCATCCTGGGCATTTTCATTGCTGGTTTATAAACTTTAATTACTATTTTTTTAAAATGTTCAAACTAACATTGTCATTGAATGCTGAACTTCCCACCAAAGATTACCCCCAAAAAAATTATTGTCAAATGGCAAAAATATGGCCAGATAAAAGAATTTTGTTGCTTGGTCACCTTGAATGAGATAAGTAACCAGGGGTGTTTTGAGTTTTATCTTTTATTGTTTTTATTAATTATTTGTGTAAGAAGTGATATTATAATATCCAGATAATTCCTACCTTTGTTTATTTCAGTAGCTACAAGTTTAAAAAGAAAGTTTTGAAATCACTTGCCATCAGTTTGTTTTCACAAATTTTCAGTGCCCAGTGTCCAGCATCATGATGTTTTCTCCAGAGTTAGCTGCTCAACAAATGCTTCTTTTATGTTTGCCAGGGAGGTGTTGAGCACTGTTAGTACAAAGATAAGTTACTTTTACCTCTGCCTTTGATGAGCTCATAGTCTGTTGGTTTCTGTGAAGTTAATTTCAATAACTCAGTATACTGAATTTGACTACTGTTGGTTTATGGGGTAGCAGAAGGTGATAGCATGTGTTTTGCAATATTCAAAGATACATAATTATGAGAGATCTTTTTGTAGAACTATACCTATTCTCTGCCATGACTGATCTCTACTCTTCCATTTTATGTTTTCATTTATGGATTATTATGGTAGGTCTTCTGGGAACTGGCTTCCAACTGTTTGGCTATGAAGAAAAGCTCCAGTCCAATCCTTTGCAGCATCTCTTTGAAGTAAGTTGTCAATAAACAGTATTAGAAAATATTTCAACTTTTTTTTTTTTTTCAGAGTGCTATACAGCTTGGTAACACATTTTTAATCCCAGAGGTTTTGTTTTTAATTTAATTTAATTTTTTAAAATATATTTTATTGATTTTTGTACAGAGAGGAAAGGAGAGAGAGAGAGAGTTAGAAACATCGATGAGAGAGAGTCATCGATCAGCTGCCTCTTGCACACCCCCTACTGGGGATATGCCCGTAACCAAGGTACATGCCCTTGACCGGAATCGAACCTGGGGCCCTTCAGTCCCCAAGCTGACGCTCTATCCATTGAGCCCAACCGGTCCCGGCTAATCCCAGAGGTTTTAACAAATGTTCCTTAAAACAGGGAACCACAAAATTAAAAATGTTTTTATTTTACTGGGGAGTTATTTTAATTTTCAAATCCAAGAGTTCTTTTATTACTATTTTAGTTGATTTGGGACACTAATTCTCTAGACATCAAATCTTCTTAGAATAAATACATAGGATAAAAATTTAATAATACAGAGAGAAATTTCTGAATTTTTGTCAGTTATATACCGCAGCTTTTTTATTTTTTAAATATATTTTTATTGATTTCAAAGAGGAAGGGAGAGGGAGGGAGAGATAGAAACATCAATGCTGAGAAAGAATCATTGATCATCTGCCTCCTGCAAACCCCACACTGGGGATTGAGTTCACAACCCGGGCATATGCTCTGACTAGCAATCCAACTGTGACCTCCTGGTTCATAGGTTGATGCTCAACCACTGAACCACGCCAGCCAGACACTGGAGCTTTGTTCATGGTAGAAACTATAATTTATTTAGACTTGAGAAAACATGAGATTATACTCCTTTTGCTCTTCTTTTGGTGTTGAAGAAGGTGTGTTTTTCTCTAACTTTACATGGCCTTTTTTCATTTCTTTCAGCTCCTTTTCTTGACTCTTGTCCAATGTGAACTCCTTTCTTTCCTACTTCATTTAGTTCTCTCATTTCTCTGTCATCATTCCATCCTGGAGTTCATTAATAAAACTCTTCCTATCTAATTAATCTCCAAGGAACTGTTTCCTTTCATTGTCTCAGTTGTTATCTCTGCTATTTCTGGGCCTCACAAGAAGAAATACAAATATACCATCAGCCATAAATATTTTAGTAAAATCTGTTCTCAAATTCAATAGAAACATAAACATGTGTTTCTTTCTATGTAGTTTAATACAGCTTCCTGTCTTTTGAGACTCATAGAAAGGAGATCATGGGTCTATGTTAAAGGTGACTAATTAATAGATCCACAGAAGGAAGAAACGGGCAAGAGTGTTCCTATGAATAACTAAAAACTCAAGGAACAATGGCTTTGCTTTCATTAAGTGTTCTTTTGTTTTATAGGGGAGCATTATTTATGGACAAAAGAGTGCAAGTCAAATACATCCACCTTGCTGTTGATAGTAGAAGATAGAAATCTATTAGAACACCCACCTGCTCTCTTTCTCCTTCCTTTGCAGCACAGAGAAAATGAAGAGCCTAAAGTAAAACTATGATTATTTGCAGATGACATGATATTGTACGTAGAAAACACTAAAAATCCATTTAAAAAAAAAACCTACTAGATTCAATAAATGAATTTGGCAATGTAGCAGAATACAAAATTATGGCATTGATGGCATTTTTATGCACCAATAATGAACTCTCAGGAAGAGAAAAATGAAAAAAAATAACAACCCCACAATCTCATTTGCAATTGCAGTGCAGTGCTGATGGCATAGTGGTGAGCCCAGCTGCCTCCCACTTACTATTACAACACAAAAATTATGATACTTAGAATAAAGCACTTTTGATGTTTCTCTTGAAATTATTGTGTTTTCTTTGTTTACAAAATCCACATTATTAACCAGTACACCTGGTAAGCCTACATAATGCCTTGCAGGCACACAGCTCTACTTGCGTGATGAGCTTCCAGCCTCTGTGTTAGGGAAGCCGTGAACCTTTTTCTCTGAGTGCCTCTTGTCACCCCAGGGTCTGCTCAGTTTCTGCTATTCCATATCCCATCTTCAATGTAAACAATTCTTCCCTCTCTCTGGGAAGTCTCTTTGCTTCACCATTGCTCTTATTTTGAGGAAGGGAGAGGAAGAAATAGAAATACCAATGATGAGAAAATTATTGATTGGCCACTCCTGCATGCCCCTACTGAGGATTGAGCTACCAGGCCCTGACGAGGAATTGAACTGTGACCTCCTGGTTCACAGTTCCACACTCAACCACTGAGCCACACTGGCGGGGAGAAAGGGTTTTTATGTTTTGTTTTAATTATTTCTATTTTAAAATTTAAGGAAGGAAAAATATTTTGATTAAGTTTTTAAAAAATATATTCTTACTGTAGTTTGAATGCTTATTAGGTTTTTAAATGTTTGGCTATTTGAGTTTAGAGTCCTAGATTTTAAAAGAATAAAATATTTCCTCTTTTGAAAATGAGGGTATTTTGTGTATGTTTGCTTATTAATTGTGTTTGTATGTTTGAGAGATTGATTTTGAATCATAAACTATATATATATGTCTTTACTCCTTTAGGCTGGACAAGGGGCATATCTCATTATATTGCACTTTGCTTTATTGCTCTTCATAGTTGTAGGCAATCTTTAGGTATGCCTGTATTAAGCAGTTGTCATTGTAGATAGGTCATTCAAGAGTCAAGAAGTTTGCAATTTACTGTCTTACATTGACTCTCTCAGTTGCCTATACTTTACCAAAGTCATGTTTTCTAACTGAATAATATTTGGACTTATTTATAGGACCATATGGAAATTATTTTTTTATGATATGTGTGTCAGCTCTCCCAGGTTTGGTGATTCACTAGGAGGACTCACAGGACTCAGCATATAATTGTACTCATAGCAATTATTTATTATAGCAAAAGCATTCAAAGCAAAATCTGCAAAGGGAAAAGGCCCCGGGGAGAAATCCGGAGGAAACCAGGCCCAAGCTTCCCAGGGTCCTTTCCTAGTAGGGTCACACAGAATGCACTTAATTCCTTCTGCAACCAGTTGTGACAGTGCATGTGTGAAATAATGTCTACCAGGAAAACTCATTAGATGTTCTGTGTCCAGCGTTTCTTTTGGAAGATCATGTAGGTACCCTCTACGTAGCATGTACTAAAACTTCAAACTCCCAGAGGAAAGCAGATGTTTAGCATAAACTGTAGTGTTTGTACAAACAGTTTAGGCACAGTGAGATACTTTTATCAGTGAGGTTGGTGAGAGCATTACCAAAATCCAAGGTCCTAGATGTCAGTCAGGGGCTAACCTTGCAAACAGAACATTTTAAGGATTTCAGTCTCAGACCTGCTATATTAACTCTTTTCTACACAATATACTTTAAAGAGGAAAACTATATTAAGGTAGTATTTACTTTTAGTTAGGTATGTATTCATTCAATTCTGCCATTCTAGTAAATAACACAAGCCATCAATGAAAGATAAGATATTTTTACCTTGAGACAGATGTTTAATGCACTGTTCCTTATGGTGGTAGTATCTCTTGGGTATAAGCCACATTGTGGTTCTCCAAAAGTATTCTCCAGCAGTCAAAGCATTTTTATGTAAATACTGCTGCCATGGTATTTTGATGATATTACTCTCAGAGTTTAGAGGCCTCATTTTTTATTTTATTTTTTGGTACTTAGTCAATTTTTATTACTTTCATGCTACTTTAATAGTTTTCTGGGGGGGAAATTATGGGGATAGGTAACTTATTCCTGTTTCTCTCTGGAAGTGAGTTATAACTTGTAAATAAAATCTTTATTGTTTGTATATATAACTTCAAAACTACTTGAGCTATAATGTCAATACTTAACCTTGCATTTTGGAGACTGGAAAATAATAAACTGTGTTGTGAACACAGAATCCTAGAACTGCCAGAGTCCTTAACAAGCTCTCCAACTTCAGTCCTATCATTGGTTCAGAGCTGAACCAGCCAAGGCAGATGGTATAAAAGCACTCCAGCGGTGAGGACTCTACGCAGTTCTCAGGAGCCCATGTTGGAGTATAATAAGCTAAGCTAACTGACTGAAAAGTCTTCCTGGGTCACCTATTTTACTGGTCTTTTGTGCATTTAGAGAACAATTAAAAAATAATTTCATAACTGCTAAATCATCCTTTGGCCTTTTCTTTGCCAGATTGAGCCAAGTTGTAGCAATAACAATTTGACTTTAAAAAATTAAAAAAAAAAACAAGCGGAAACTGGTTTGGCTCAGTGATAGAGCATCAGTCTGCAGACTGAAGAGTCCCAGGTTCGATTCCGGTCAGGGGCATGTACGTTGGTTGCGGGCACATCCCCGGTAGGGGGTGTGCAAGAGGCAGCTGGTCGATGTTTCTCTCTCATCGACGTTTCTAGCTCTCTATCTCTCTCCCTTCCTCTCTGTAAAAAAATCAATAAAATATATTTTTTAAAAAATAATAAATAAATAAATAAATAATTAAAAAAAACAAGACATGCTATTCTAGTCTAAGCCAGGCTTTCTTAATGTAAGGGTCTATGAACTTGGATGGGAAGAAAAATTTATACATTTTCACTAAACTCTATCAGAAAGTTAACATTTTCTTTTATTACTATATCTTAAATAAAAAAATATTTGGATAACTATTTCATTGTAATTGTTTCCTTTGTAAATGTATGTATTTTACTTTGTGCATTTAGAGAAGAAGAGGTCCATAGGGTTCACTAAAGGTTCATGACAAAAAAAAATAAAGGTTACACTCTGTGATGAGGGCGGTTGGATAACCTTTAAATGAAAATTTTTAGAATTGTGTTTTGTTTCTTCTTTTCCTTATTAAAGATAACTGTGAATAGTAATATATATTACTGTTGTGCTTTTAGGTTTATGTACAAGTTAATAAAGAAGCAGCGGAAGACAAAAGTGTAGCCAAATCAGCACATGAATTCTTCCAGCGATTGGAATTAGGTGACATGCAAGCACTTGCACTATGGCAAAAATTTCGGAACTTGAGCGTAGAAGAGTACATTCGGATTTACAAGGTACCTGTCCACTCTCTTGCTTTCTTGAGATTTGGTGCAGCTCTTGACTGGTACCACCAGGCAGCCACGTTTCTTCCTAAGGTCATGTTTTAAAAATAGATTTGTCGTTGAGTTGGGATTTAGGACTCAAATTTTGTTCTTTGGACTGAAAGTTAGAGCTATGAAATAATCTTACAGCCTAGGAACTTAACAACATTGTGATACTTCATTTCAGAGAGGATTTTCTCTATCATTCCTCCACTTTCTTACCCACCATTTTTCTTCACGATGGGTATAAATTTGTTCATTTAATTAACATTTAGGGCATGGGAAAAATACAACAGTGAATAAAAAGGATAAATTTTCTCATGGACTTTACATCCTAGCATTGAGACAGTGCATTAAACAAAGGTAGTGCGAATTAAATAAGAGCACGTAGTCTGTTAGATGGTAATGTGGAGGAAAATAAGCAGGGAAGAAGAGTTCAGGCATGGGTGGACTGAAGAGAGTTTCTGTAAAGAAGCCCATGTGGGTGGGGTAGGTAAACAAGATGCGAACTGTAGGAGGAGAGATTGAAGAGGTTATAGGGTGGGACGTGGTGTGGGCTGTTTTCCAGGGCTGTCCACTCTGGTTCCGTGAGGGGATGGAAATGTCCTGTATCTTTGCTATCCAGTATGGCAGCCACTAGCCTTGTGTGGCTACAGTGTGAGTAATGTCATTGAGAAACTAAACGTTTAATTGTATTTCATGGGAATTTCAACAGCCTCCTGTGCCTAAAACTACCATAGTGGACAGGATGGTACTGTTGGGAGGACTTGACTGGTGGAAGAGCCTTTAGAAGGTTAAAGCAGAGGAGGGACTTGTTCTGTGTGCCAGACTGTAGGGCATCCTATTTTGTCTTAGGGTAAGGTGGAGGACATTTAAGTAACTCTTTTTTTGTTGTTTGTTTCTGAACTCTTTTAGCGTCTAGGAGTACATTTTGATGAATACTCAGGAGAATCATTTTATCGTGAAAAATCTCAAGAAGTCTTAAAGTTGCTGGACAGTAAAGGACTCCTGCAGAAAACAATGTATGATCAGGCTACTATTCTTTAGTAAAGTTATTTGTTCTTTTTTTGAAATTGGTGTTGATATCTTCACAGTAAGGACAACAGAATGTGCTATGCAGCCCTTTCTGTCACTTTTTTAATAGTGCTTTTGCTATTCAAAGTATTTTTATACATGCTGTCTTTTTTTTTGTTGTTTGTTTTTTGTTTTTATACATGCCGTCTTTTGCTACCATAACATAATTCTGGTAAGGTTGGGAGAAAGGATATTATCTGCTGCTTGCACATGAGCAAACAAGAACAGAAGGTACATATGACCTGCCTAAAGTCACAATGACTGATAATAGTATAACTGTAAAAAAGCCATAGGATTCACATCTTACTTAACCCTGCCTTTTTAAAAAAAATAATCCTATCCTCTTCAATAAAAGACTTAAGGCAGCTCATGAAAATAGATATAGTAAAACAGCAAGCTTTTGAAAGAGTAAAACCAGGAAGAAATCAGGAAGTGGGAGCAGAAAATAATATGAAGTCAAGATGATATTAGTACGTCATGTAACACAAACTGGGATTCTGTTTCCTAGCTTAAGGTAGATTTCTAATTTAGCTTTGAGCTTCCTGTCAACCAAACAGAAAAATAGTTGTACTAGTCATAGCAGCTCAAATATCTGTAATGTAAAAGCAAACCATTCGCTTAGAAGTGCCGCTTTTCATAAAACCAAAGAGCAATTTCTTTTTTCATCTTTATAAAGAAGACATGGAATCTGTGTTTAATAAAATCCTCAGCAATGTTATTAAGGAAAATTTTTAGATTACCATATACAGATTCTAATTTTTGTTCAGGCAGGAAAGACTATAACAAAAATCCCAAGGTTTTATTACTCAAGGGTACTTTAAGGCATCCAAAGCTATAATAGTTCAATATTTAATGTTATAATAACTGGAATTAGAGAAAAAATGTTTTATAGTTAAACTATAGTTGTAATCTCATTTTTTTAAGGTATGTTTATGACATAATCTAAGTACCTTATCCAGAGTTACAAAATAACTAAATATTAATTGCACTAGAGGCCCGTGCATAAAATTCATGCACTCGGGCAGGGTGGGAGGATCCCTTAGCCTGGATTGCGAGTGAGCATAAGCCAGGCCGAGGGACCCCACTGGTGTATAACCCAGGCCAAGGAGGGACATGGGAGGTTGGCCAGCTGGGGAGGACCGCAGGAGGACTCCAGGGCGTGTCTGGCCTATCTTGCTCAGTCCCAATTGGCCAGACCCCCTGCAGCAAGCTAACCTACCAGTCAGAGCATCTGCCCCCTAGTTGTCAGTGCATGTCATAGCAAGCAGTTGAGGGGCCTTACCATATTACACTTTGATTGGTTGAATGGCTGACCAGATGACCAGACACTTAGCATATTAGGCTTTTATTATATTGGATTATACCCACTTGTAATAGATTCATGGTCAGATGACATCTTATTTTTCTTTATTGTTGGTTATACCGCTTATTGCTACCAAGTAATAAAAATAGCTTCTTGTTTGACAAAGAAAATGTTATAGATATTATACTTTTAAAGGTCTTAATTTTTATTATGTTACTTCAAGTTACCTTTCTGCATTTCTAGGAAAGGAACGGCTGTAGTGGATCTTTCTGGGAATGGTGACCCCTCCTCAATTTGTACTGTGATGCGTAGTGATGGGACATCTCTCTATGCAACGAGGTTTGTGTCTTATGTGAAGATGAGCATTAGAATTAGAATGTGTATATGACTTCATGTTATTTGTTCTAGAGTTACTGCTAAGTCAGTTATGTTATCCTCAAAACTATTATCAAAGGCTAATTTCTAAATCTCTTGTTCTCATCACTAAAAATATACTTTTTGGGTTTCCGTTTAGTGCTACTTTTATTACCTCGAAAGGTTAAAAGTCATCAGAAAAGTGACTGAAAATTACTTACAATTTGTCAAACATCATAGAATTCCACATTATTCTACAACTATAAAATTGAGATTCCTCGTAATCAACTATAAATATTTTACAATTGCATAATGGGAGGGAATGTATGCTAAAAGGTGGATGTATGAGCTCATTGGTGTCCTCACAATCAGTCCTTATTCTGATTGTGGTAAAACAGGCCATGTCACTTAACATTTTTTTCTTCTGTCTCCATGGCTGACTCCTGTGCTACAAGCAGTCTCTGTTACTAAGATCTTGGATTGTCAAACACATTTATTTCTGAGACAAAGCTAATAGGAAGGAAAATAAAAAAGCCACACAAGCACACATGGCCATACTCAAGCACTGCTGGCAAAGGGCTCTAGTATCTCCTGGGCTAGTTTTATATTATATCACAAATCTCTCATAAGCATAGTGAAAGTAATGGTATTTTTTTCTTTTCTTTTTTTAACTACTATCCTTTGTTCCAAACTACTTTAAACAGCCACCTATCTCTCTTACTGTCCTTCAGAAAATTAATCTACTTTCTATTACTTTTTGAAATGTCTTTATCAATTCCATACAGTTGAAGGTGGGAAATGAAAAGAACTCATATATCTAAGAAGTACATTTGTTTTTCTAGGTACAAAAATATAAACAGTAGGTCCTCGGGTTCCATCAGAGATCCATTCCTACAGCGTAACATAGTGCGATTTTTGCCGTTAAGTTGGAACTTATCTACATAAGCACCTATGTTCCTCACTTGGAGCACATACACAGCAGTAATGAAATGAAACAGTAAAAAAAATTTAAAAGAAAGAACAATTCCTGACCTTTACTTACTTTATTATAAGTAATAAAAAGCATAAAGCACATATGTATATACGTCGAAATGATGGAACTTTTTTTTTTATAAATAAATGAGAGATGGCGACGTAACCATGAAACAACATACATTGATTCTGACTTAACCTGCCTGTAGTAGAAAAAAAAATTTTTTTGTGCCAGCTAACTATGGATTACAAAAGAGACCTATGAGCAATGGTTATAAGAACTGTGTCCACTCAAACAGAAGTTACATGACATGAAGACCCTGTAACTGCCCTGAATCTGGTGCAGGAAATTCATGCACAGGTAGGGTTCCTAGTGGCTACCGTTGCCAGCCAGGGTGCCTTCCTTCCCCCAGCTGCCTGCCACGACCGCCAACCCTGCTCCCTAGTCAAACTCCTGGTTGAGGGAACAATTTGCATATTAGGTTTTTTATTACATAGGACTAGAGGCCCAATGCATGGAATTCATGCAAGGAGCTTGGTCCTCTCAGTCACTGTATCTTTGCCTTGGTCGGCCCTTGCAGCCCTGGCTTCATCAGGAAGGTTGTTCAGCTGTCCAATCTAATTAGCATATTATACCTTTATTATTAAAGATTATGAGGTAAGTACTAATGATATTTTGATAACCCTAACATTTCAAAAGATCTAGGAACTTTTTAAGTCCTCCCCCAGTACCATATATTATCAAAAATCATTTTAATTTTAAATTTCAACATTTTTATCATCTTGTCTTGACATTTCATAGTTTATGGTTTATTTTTTATTATTTTATATAACATGTAAACTGGGTCTTTTCTAGTTAATCAGAGATGAGAGAGTTAAATAGAACTTTTATTAAAGTATATTATGATCTTTTAAAATGCTTTAGAAAATATTACTTATGACTGATACAAGACTTTGAAACCCCTTGATCATACTAATAGAGGAGTAGCTAGAATATATCTATTTAACTACTATGTCAACTACACTAATAAAGGAGAAACATGCAAATTGACCATCACTCTGCTACACCCACCAGCCAATCAGGAGTGATTATGTAAATTAACCCAACAAACATGGTGGTGGCCACAGAGCTGGAGTGAGCAGGCTTGGGTGACCCCAGAGATGGAGGTAGCCAAGACTCCCACCCGCCCTGGTAGCTGCTAAAGGAGGAGCTGGGAACCAACCCATGCTTCCAGCCAGCTCTGGCTGTGGCTGAAGGAGGGGCTGGTAGCTTGGGTTGCTAGGGGGCGTGGCCAGCCTGGAAATGGCCCTCAGCCCCTTACCCAGGCTGGACACACCTCCATGGGTGAGGGTCCCCACTGCGGGCTTGCCCAGCCTGCAAATAGCCTTCACCCCCTCACCCAGGCTGGCCACTCTCCCCCAGTGGGGACCCTCAGCCCTTGGGAGTGTGGCCAGCCTGCAAACCACCACAGGCTCCTTGCCCACACCCCAAGGGAAGCCCCACCCTGATCCAGGACACCCTTCAGGGCAAACCAGCTCGCCCCCACCCATGCACCAGGCTTCTATCTATACTATTAAAAGGGTAATATGCTAATAAGTCTGGGAGACCTTCCGGATGTTCTGAACAAAGCCATGGTGGCGGGCTCAAGGTAGAGATAGTTAGAGGCCAAGAGGAGAGGACAGTTGTGGTGATTAGGCCAGGATGGGACAGCAGTTGTGGGTGATCAGGCCAGTGGGAGGGGTGGGGGGGGTAGTTGGGGCTGAGCAGACCACCAGGGGGGCCAGTTGGGGGAAAGCAGACAAATCAGTAGGGGTCAATTGGGGGTGATCAGGATAGCAGGGGGGCAGTTTGGAGTGAGCATGCCAGCAGGGGTACACTTGGGGGCAAGCAGGCTGGCATGGGGGGTGGGCAGTTGGGAGCAACCACGTTGGCACGGGGGGCAGTTGGTGGTGGTCGGGGTTCCAGGGAGGGCATTTGGAGGTGAGCAGGCTGGCGGCGGGGGGCAAGCAGGTCTGCAGGCAGAGTGGTTAGGGGCAGTCAGGCAGGCAGGTAGGTGAGTCGTTAGGAACCAGCAGTCACGAATTGTGAGACGGGTGTCCAACTGTCAGTTTAGGCTCAATGCCTGTAAACCGGCAGTAGGACATCCTTCGAGGGGTCCAGATTCGGGAGGGTGCAAGCCGGGCTGAGGCCTCCCGCCGTTCTTGTATTTCGTACACCGGGCCACTGGTCCTGAGAAAGAAGAACAAAGGAGGATGGAACTCAATACCAGATATCAAGCTATATTACAAAGCCACTGTTCTCAAGACTGCCTGGTACTGGCACAAGAACAGACATATAGACCAATGGAATAGAATAGAGAACCCAGAAGTTGACCCAAACCACTATGCTCAATATTTGACAGAGGCAAGAACATACCTAGAGCTAATTTAGTTGTTATTACAACTTGTTCCAGAGTCTTACTCATTTATGTTTTTTATCTTTTCATAGCACACTTGTTATTATTGCATTTCCTAAAGCTATTTTTATTATTTTTTACTTGGCATCTCAAAATATGATATTGGGCTTATACAAGCAGGAGTAATATACCCCAACCTGTGGGATAACAGGAGTTCTTAATTAGAAAAGCTTTATTACTATTAAAGAGGTAAACAAATTATTTCCCATATCTGCTTAGTAACTCTTAATTTATGGCCTTTTTTTTTTTTTTTTTTTCAGAGATCTTGCAGCTGCTATAGATCGAATGGACAAGTATAATTTTGATTCAATGATTTATGTGGTAAGTAATCACAGTAAAGAATAAAAGGTTATGATCCCTACCTCATAAAAACTGCAAAGATAGAAATTGGGTTGCAAATTTATGCCATGTTGAAAACTATGGAAAAATAATGTTGTCAAACTGTAGAAAGAATTTGGTACTAAGTGTGATTAAGGTGGCAACCACAATGTTTAAAAAAAAAAAAAACACATAAAAATTAAAAAGTTCACATTGTTTTATAGTAAAACAAAATTAATTATCTAAGTCAGGAAAATGGTTACCGTATGTGAAATGAATGTGTACAGGTCACTCATACACTTTTTTAAAAAATATATATTTTATTGATTTTTTACATAGAGGAAGGGAGAGAGATAGAGAGCCAGAAACATCGATGGGAGAGAGACATCAATCAGCTGCCTCGTGCACCCCCTCCCCACTGGGGATGTGCCCACAACCAAGGTACATGCCCTTGACCAGAATCGAACCCGGGACCTTCCAGTCCGCAGGCTGATGCTCTGTCAACTGAGCCAAACCGGTTTCGGCTTCTGTCATACACTTTTAAAAATAACTTTCTATTTTAAATATTTTAAGACTCACAAGAAGTTTTAAAATAGGATAGTGTTTTCATATGCCCTCTACCTAGCCTTCCCCAACAATAGTATCTTACATAACCAATTTTGGTATGTCCATACCAAAAAAGCAACATTGGAAGAGACCTTAATTAAATTTTGCCAATTTTTACATGACTGGTGCATGGGCCTGAATGTTTTTGTGTGGTGTGTTTTTATGAAATTTTATCACATATGTATTATAGATGCACATAACCATCACCACATTTAGGATGCAAAACTGTTCCATCACAAAACTGTTCCCTCAGGGTAACCACTTAGTAACCCTAGCCCTTGGCAGCCACTTCTCTGCTCTTCATTACTACAGTTTTGTCATACAAATGTTATATAAATGCATTCACAGTATGTGACCTTTTGAGTCTGGCTTGTTTTTACTCAACCTTAGGAATGCCCTTGAGATCCACCCAATCTCTTGTTTGTATCTGTTCCATTTGTTGCTGAGTAGTATTTAGTCTCTTCTTCCCTTTCCTTCACTTCCATGTAAACTCCTTTCCCCTAAAAAAAAAAGTTGCCATTAAATATCGTTTTTGGGGGTTTTTTGTTTGTTTATTTGTTTGTTTTTTAATATATTTTATTGATTTTTTTTGCCCCCCTCCCTCCCATACATACCCTCCCTCCCCAGAGTTTTATGTCCATTGGTTGCATTAAATATCGTTTTAGAGCTTAGCTTTGTTCTTCTTTGAGATAAAGATCATAACAGCTGGGAGAGAAGGAATTTAAATAGAAGATTCATAATATTAAAGCTTGAGTTTCCTCCTTACAGTGTAGCAGCTTGCTCTTCCTTCTCGTCTAGTACACTCACCTAAGACAGTCTTCTGGTGGCTTTCCTTTATGTGTTTATTTAAAACTTACCAATTAACAATGACTAGTCTGTCAGAACTCAAATATTTTAATTCATGTCCAGCATATTTTTGTAAATTATCATTGTTCTTTTATTTTAAATACTTTTTCTCCCCCCCAAAGACAGATAAAGGACAAAAAAAGCATTTTCAGCAAGTGTTCCAAATGCTGCAGATCATGGGATATGACTGGGCAAAAAGGTAATGTGTGCATGGTTGTTAACTACCTGCCTCAGAATCATTGTTAGGTCAGCCAAATCCAAAAATGTGCCAAGTTCTTAAAAATTTTCATTGAAATTTCTAAGTTTTAAGGTGTTAGTGTGGGAGAGCAGATGTTTTTATGTGTGTTAATTTATGCCTGGCTGAATTAATAAGTAGCTTATATAAACATCTAATAAATGTTTTTATTAGATATCTGCTCTCAGTGGCTTGATTTAAAAAAAATTTTTTTTAATATGTCTTTATTGATTTTAGAGGGAGAGAGAGAGAAAAAAACCATCAATGATAAAAATGAACCATTGACTGACTGCCCCTACTGGGGATCAAGCCTATAACCTGGGCATGTGCCCTTGACTGGCATCAAACCCGGACCCTGCAGTCTGTAAGCTGATGTTCTATCCTCTGAGCAAAAGCAGCTAGGGTTGATTTTCAAAATTCTTTACCCCCCTCTCCTGTTTTTCATAAAGGCAACTATGCTAGTGATTATCTCTAAATAATGCTGTGTGTTTAACATCTGTGGTATACAATAAATAACATCATGTTTCAATCTATTAATTTTTTAAAACCTCATTATGAGAGTTGAAGTTCAGACTACTCTCTAAAGTGGTTTTATTCTATACTTTGGTAACCAGCTAGTTTTCAGTTTTCAGCTAACTAAATGCTCACTCCATTTCAGGTGTCAACATGTGCCCTTCGGAGTGGTGCAGGGAATGAAGACTCGAAGAGGAGATGTTACTTTTCTGGAAGATGTCTTAAATGAGATTCGATTGAGGATGCTACAGAACATGGCTTCTATTAAGAGTGAATTCACTTTTTTGTTGTTATAGTCATAACTGCCTTTTTTTAAAAAATCTTTATTGTTGAAAGTATTACATGTCTCCTTTTTCCCCCTCATTGACATCTTCTAGCCTGCTCCCACCTCCCACCCAGGCCTTCACCATCCTATTATCTGTGTACCATGGATTATGGATGTATGCATAAAAATTATTCATTAATCTCATCCCACTCACCTACCTACTCCTGGCTACCATCAACAAATCAACAAATGACTAGTGCTGGCAAAAATGTAGAGAAAAGGGAAACCTAGTATACTCCTGGTGGGAATGCAGACTGGTGCAGCCAAGATGAAAAACAGTATGGGTTTCCCTTAAAAAATTAAATATGGAACTGCCATTTGACCCAGTGATCTCACTTCTAGGAATATATCTAGGAATATAAGAAACCCAAAACACCAATCAGAAAGAACATATGCTTCCCTGTGTTTATAGTAGCACAGTTTATAATAGCTAAGATGTGGAAACAGCCCTAATGCCCATCAGTAGATGAGTGGATAAAAAAGCTGTGGTACATTTATACCGTGGAATGCTATGCAGCTGTTTAAAAGAAGGATCTTAGCCTATGTGCCACTTTTATATTTTGCAGGTCTTCTGTGCAGTGTGATTTATTATTACCATTCCTCCATTGAACTTTCACTAATCTTATTTAAAAAATAGCTTTCACTAATTAAAGTTGCCAGAATTGTTAGACTTACTGCTCAAGTATTGTTCAGTCGGTAATCTGATTTGATATTACCGTGGCCTCTTTTCATGGATGGCTTCATATTATCATTCCATTGTTGGTAGTAGTTCTGTGAAGTTCCTGTTATATAATTTTAAATTAGTCATAAGTCCTTATGGCTTTAACCGTCACCCTTGGAAAAATAAGTGCCAGCTCTATCTATTGTCTTAGAAGGATATTTTCTTATAAGGGATATTTATTTAAAAAATAAACACAAAAAAGAAGTATTTTCCCTTTTAATGAAGGCAGGGGAATTGTCATTATCAAAGGCAAATAAACCCAAATTAAAAAAGTAAATTGCCCACTGTATACCTGTTTGTTCTTGATACCACCAGCATCCATTTTTGACAGATTTTATCTCCACTTCAGTCTGACTCTGTAGGTTCCGGCAGGTTAACGATACCACCTTTGCTGTTTCAGCCACCAAAGAACTGGAGAACCCACAGGAGACGGCAGAGAGGGTCGGGCTGGCAGCACTCATTATTCAGGTCTGTTCGACTGCTTCCTAGGACCCTTTGTGTGATAATAGAATGAATCCCAGCACTGAAGATTTCTCTGTCATTTTAGGACTTCAGAGGTTTACTCTCAGCTGACTATCAGTTCAGCTGGGATCGTGTGTTCCAGAGTCGTGGGGACACAGGTGTCTTCCTGCAGTACACGCACGCCCGCCTCCACAGGTGAGAAGAGGCTGCAGGGAAACAGTGGGCCGCTCTGCCCTTCCCAGGGTGGGGTTTGACTGCTGCATGCCTAAGACCAAAGGCCCTATTTTCCGGGCTTCTCAGATATCTCATATCCAAATCTAATTAGAATACAGTGGACAGCCTACATGTTACGTTGTTTTCTTGTAGGGTTTATAGAATATTTATTAGGCACCTATGTAGGAAATGCTTTTATGCACATTACTTTATTTAGTATTTACAATAATCCTACCAAAAGAATATACCGTTTTCAGATAAAGATACAGATTTAGGAAAAATTGAGGCATCAAGCCCTGGCTGATGTGGCTCTGCTTACACCAAAAGTTTAGTTCCATCAGGGCACAGAGCCCAGGTTGTGAGTTTGATGCATGTTCGGTGTGCGTGTAAGAGGCAACTGATCAATGTTATTTTCTCTCTGTGTGTCTCTCTTTTATCCCTCTCATCTTCTTACTCTCTCGAAAAATATAAAAATAAAAATAAAAATGTTTAAATAATTGAAGCATCAGACTGAACTTAGTTTTAAAGACAGGCCCTGTCACTAAGTGGAGCATGACTGAGAAATGCATTCTTAGGCGATTTCATGGTTGTGCACACATCATAGAGTGCATTTTCATAAATCTAGATGGTATAGCCTGCTACACACAAGCAGGCTGTATGCTATATAGCCTATTGCTCTGTAGGGGAACAAAAATAATTTCCCTGCACCCTTTCTTCTGGGTTCCTGACTGAAATATTCCTATAATAAAAGACAGATTAGCAGGAGAAAAATTAAAGTTTAATAATGTGTATGTTTCCAGTATACATGGAAGAGACCCAGGAAAACTGAGTTACCCTATTTTTCGGACCATAAACGCTCCGGACCATAAGATGCACCAGTTTTTAGAGAAGGGAAATGAAGAAAAAAAGATTCTGAAACAAATAGTGTCCTAAAATATTTTATGTGCATTAAAACTCAACATCACAGTCATAAACACATGTAATCAACCCTGTAAAGTAAACAGCAGCATTTAGAACCATTTTAGAGCCGGGCAAGCACACAGAGACCACACAGAGCCGGGCAAGTAAAAAAACTTTTTTTTTAAAGTATATGTGTAGGCTATATTTGGACCATAAGACGCAGGGACTTTTTCCCCCCACTTCTGGGGGGAAAAAAGTGCGTCTTATGGTCCGAAAAATACGGTACTTGCCAAAATGCCTGGAGCCCTCACCTTAAAATACCATCTTCAGTTGAAGACAAAAGGAGATGTTGAGGGTGAGAGTGGTCAGTTATGGAAGGTTACCAAGAAGAGCACAGTTAAAATCAAGGGTGAGATTGTGATACAGATTTAAGTCCTAATCTTCGGCATTGATAAGAGTTTCTAGAAATAAGGTCATCTTCATTTTTCAGAGTACCAGAAGGAGACACACTTACAAATGGAGATTCTCTTACAAATAAGTCTTTTACAAAGTGTAACTTCTACTTGATTTTCAGAGCTTTTTCCCTTTCGCATCTACCGTCTCTTAAAATTAACCAGCCTAAATAATACTTATGCCAAATAGAGTTATTTTGGGGTAATAGATTCTCTTTTCCTACAGCTCATAGACTACAAATCTGTACAGCATGTTACTGTACGGAACACTGTAGGCAAATGTCACACAATGGTGTTTGTGTAGTGCATTGTAGTGTTATGACAGCTACAATATAAAAAAGTGATATGAATTTTTCAGTTCCATCATAATCTTATGGGAGCACCATCCTATACTCCATCCATGGTTGACCAGCATTATGCGGCATGACTATATTAAGGAGAGCAAGACTGTATTATGACATGGTTCATCACTTGCAATTATGTGTCCTTCGATGACTTGTTTAATCCTTTGTTGTTTTCACACTTTTGATAACAGTTTGGAAGAGGCTTTTGGATGTGGTTATCTGAATGATTTCAACACTGCTTGTTTACAAGAACCACAGTCTGTTTCAATTCTCCAGCATCTGCTCAGGTATGGTTTTCAAGTATTATTGAGTCAACTTCGGCTTAGTGAAACTGTTCTGAACTCATGTTCCTATGTCCTATGCTTCTAAAGGCCAAAACTCAAAACCCCAGCATTTGGAATTTATTGATTGAGGAGCCAACCAAGATGTGGGTCCTAAGAATGCCTCAAATCCATCTTACCGATGGACAAGGTTAAGGATTTTTAAGGTGAGAAAGGAGAGTGGAGAGAGGTGTTAGGGTAAATTCCTGTGATCTTTGGTCTCTTGATAAGGTCTCAAGGAGTAGATTCTAAGATTCTGTGAGAGGGCACATGGGTCATGGGTGGTATTGAATCTCCATCGTTTTCTGCAAAGCTTGTAAATTATTGCCCTGTGACCATTCCTTTCTCTGAAGAAGCAGAAATATTGAATTGAGATGTTATTTGTAGTTTTCCTGAAATGGTTATTTGACCAGTAGATCACAAATTGTTAATCCAGGTACTGGTCACAGTCTTGCTAAGCCCTACTGTTTAAACATTAAGCAGCCTATCACTACAAGGGAATGGGTGAGTTAATATAGTTTTGTTAGGGGAAAACAGAGGACCTAACTTGCAGAGATAAAAAGAGGGCCTGACTTGTGGGTGTTTTGCAAGCCACTGAAGTGAACAGGCCAATAACTAGCTCTTGCCTCTAGTCAGCATTTTCCTCAAGGTAGATTAAAAAATGATTGTCTGCCTTTTAAGGGCACACAGAGAGCATACGAATGGTTGTTAGGTCTTAAAAATATTACTATCACTGAATTAGCCTAAGCACCTAACCACCCTTTAGGTAGTATGAGAATGTGAACCCTGGTAAAAGCATAACTGTGTAATTTTTTAAAAAATCATCTTCTCACCCTCCATAATAAGAAAAGGAAAATCCCTGCCTTTTCACAGCTTCCCAGAGTCTTCCATTTGCCTCTTAGTTTCAAGTCACAGTTTCAAATATGCATCTAATGCCCTCATTCGGGCGGAGACTGCACCTTTGAGTTCTCCACCATCACTGGGATACCAGCCTTGTGAGGAGAGCTTAGTCTCCAGAAGGGATGCGGATAGATAACAAGGCAGTTTTGTCTGATTGCCACACAACGGTGGTTCTTTCCTGGGGTCAAAAGGAGCTAGTTTACTCATATTTGGCTAATTTGTGAGGAAATATGAGCCAACTTGGGGTTTTTATATTGAGGGTAGGCTCTGTTTGCTAGTTTCTAGATTATGTCCCTAAATATCACTAAGCAGCTTTTACATTCAATTTAACAGCCATGGTTTGAGTTCTTGTGCTGAAGAAGGCCTAAGGAATAAACAGATGATTTAGAAAGTGCCTGCCACCTAGAAATTTGTGAGAGAAAAATGTGCCTTTACCTTCAACTGAACACCTGTCTTTTTTCATATACCTCCTACCCTTAGTGATGTCAAATCAACCTTACATCTTGGATCTCTGTCTTAACATCTTAGCTTAGTGTAACATGTGCACAGTCTTCCACTGACAGTTGCTCCTGTCATCTTTCTTTTAGGTTTGACGAAGTGCTTTATAAATCATCTCAGGACCTTCAACCCAGGCACATTGTCAGCTACCTTCTAACTCTAAGGTATTTTTATAATTTTCAGGTGTAACCAGACAGCTGAGGCCTGATCTGATAAGGGACCTTTCCTTCATCTGAAGTGTTCCTATAAATAAATCCTTTGGCCTAAAAATATTGTGTGCTTTAAGTTACAGGAATTCTTGCTTCATCTTTGCAAATTAGCAATCATTGTTCATCTGGTCACTCAGTCAAGTGAACAGGAAACAGCAGCCTCATAGGAGGTTACAGAACAGTGTGCATGTGTTAGGATAGAGTGGATGTGAGAGCAAATGTCAGGGCACTCAGCCCAGCCTTGAGGGATCAGAGAGGGCTTTCCAGAGGAAAGGAGGAGACATTAACTAGGAGAAACAAGGTGGCAGAGGGAGAAGAGAAAGCCCAGAGCTTGCAAGAATATGATTATTAAAGGAACATGATCAGCATAGTCCCGGGCAAGATCCAATGAAGCATTTCTGCCATGTACTAGCCAGTGGTCAGCAAACTGCAGCTCACGAGCCACATGCGGCTCTTTGGCCCCTTGCGTTTTTAGCGAAGGCCAGCTTAGGAGTACCTTAATTAAGTTAATAACAATGTACCTACCTATATAGTTTAAGTTTAAAAAATTTGGCTCTCAAAAGAAATTTCAATCATTGTACTGTTGATATTTGGCTCTGTTGACTAATGAGTTTGCTGACCACTATACTAGGCATTTCATCTTTTCAGGGCAGCGGGGTCCACAAAAAGGTTTTAAGCAGAGGCATAGAAATATCAGTCAGCTAGAGGGCAAGATTGAATTGAGAAGCAAGTCAGTGACACTTTGATAGGCATTTCATGGTAGCTATTTTAGAAACGTGACTATTTGATTCTGTCTTCTGAGTGATGTCTCCCCGTAAAAGCTATTTAAGAAATATTTGCTTTTACTCAAGACTTACTGAAACCAAAGATTTATTGGGACTGTTTTCTTAATTATGCTTTTTATTTTGACTTCCCTAGATTTAAATAAATCTTTCCTTTAACCCTTTGCACTCCGCTGTCCCCTCTCAGGGAACATCGGAATTCTAGCATATCACTCGGATGTCCCCTCTCAGGGGGGACCCTGCAGCTTATTAGTGATTACGGGGAATTGAGTTAATTCAATGCACGTGTCCGCCGCAAAGTAGCGTCGAGTAGCTGGTAGCCAATGTCCAGAATGGTTCGGAGTGCAAAGGGTTAAAATCCACTTAGGCAGATAGATACGAAAAAGCCAAAAAGTCTTATTAAATGCCACTTAATCAATGAAACAAATGTCATAAGCATCATTTCTCTGGCACTCTGTTGTAATTGCTGCCTTATCTAAATAGAAAAAAAAACGTTTTAAAGATGAGTGGCCAGTATGTGTGCAGAGTGGACTGATAACTAGTCTCTACCTGACCTCTTCACCATACAGAGATGAAAAGGCCAGATCATCTTAAAGGAAGCCCAATGAGGAAAAACTCACTAGAAAGGAATCTCCTGTATTTGTAAAACTAATAATGAAATAATCTTTTTTTTTTTCCAAAGAGAAGGAGGGGGCGGAGATGGATTTGTTGTTACACTTATTTATACATTCATCGGTTGTTTCCCACAATCTTGGCATCTAGGAATGATGCTCTAACCAACTAAACTACCTAGCCAGGGCCTTCAACTTTCGAACTTTTGAAAAATCTTAATGGTGGTATTTTAGATACCAGGCTTATATGTTACAACAGGAAATTGCTGCTGGTCCTGATTATGATTTCTCTTTTCAGTCACCTTGCAGCTGTGGCACACAGAACACTGCCCATAAAACAGAGTCCTCCTGAAGCGGCTGGGGTATGTTACACAGTGTTTTGTGTGTAATGTCTAGCATCCCCAGACTAATATTACTCAGTCTTGCAAATGTTTCTAAAATAATATCCAGTTGTTCAACTACAGCAATGTACTTAAGGTAATAATTAGAATCAACATTTATGTACTTTGCAACATACTGAACTATGAAGTACATTTTCCTACATGAAGTATTACAGTGATTGGTTCCCTTATCTGAATCTGTGCTGTATGATGGTACATTCACTCACTCCCCAACCCTTGGGTACCAGTGTTACTGTTAGAGTTTCTAGGAATTTGTATTCCCTTGCCTATAGCAAACCCCAGGGCACTTTTGAGATATTGTTTGTACTTAGAAGAAAGCTAAATTTATTTTTTTAAAATATATTTTTATTGATTTTTTTACACAGAGAAAGGGAGAGAGTTAGAAACATCGATGAAAGAGTCATCGATCAACTGCCTCTTACACACCCCCTACTGGGGACGTGCCCACAACCATGGTGCATTCCCTTCACCGGAATCGAACCTGGGATCCTTCAGTCCCTAGGCCGATGCTCTATCCACTGAGCCAAACCAGTTTTGGCTAAATTTATTCTTAAAAACATTCTTATTCACTTTATACTTAGCCTATTATTGAACATTTAATCATTATTTGATTTATTTTTGTAGGCCAGACTTCATCTTTTCAAAGCTGTCCGTTCTGTCCTAGCCAATGGAATGAAACTTCTTGGAATAACACCTGTATGTAGGATGTAATTTCCAATGAAAATGCTTTTAAATACTAATTCTAGTTATCTATTCTTATATGCCTTGCTGTTTATAATTTTATTATTCTGTGTTAGAATCTATATATTGTCTATAAGTGATTTATCAACTGATTAAATCTTTATACTTAAAAAGAAATCTCAGTCATTAAGTATTAAAGAGACTTTTTGTAAAATTCATTTAAATCTTTTCAATGCATTGTGGTCTAACGGGAATAAAGGGTTAGAGTTTAAATTCTACTTTGAGGTTTCTCACATTGTCATTCCTCCAGAAACTATTCTTATAACCAACTAAGATTACCTAATGTTTCTATCAAATTTCTTAGAATGATGACTAGTCTAAAAAAATTTAAACCAGTATTAGACCTTTTTGCCAATATAGCTGATAACTTCCAGAGAACAGATCTCGTGTTTATCTCTTTGTTGATATGTATACAGGTAACTTACTACATGAACTCGGGAACTGGATACATTGAATAACAAGAAATTACTTTTCCCATTTACTTCACGTATCTGCATATTGGTAAAGTATGTCTTATGTGATTGGCTGATGAGTATGGCTGCCCTCATCTGCCAGCATTTCCATTTGGGACTGCTATAATTTATTGTAGATGTTGCTTCCAGAAGTCTTCTCTAGTGTATCAGTGACTATCTAATAATTTTACAAACCAGAGGGGGAAATTAGCATGAACCAAGCTTCTCTAGTTGAATGAATATAGTTTTATATTAGCAAGTATGATATGCCATCTTTAGTCATAGTTTATAACTATTATTCGCAACCAAAGAACACTAATACAATTTCAACATAGAGAAGATTTTAAATGCAATGTATGGGGTTAAAAGCTTGTCTTTATATTACCTTAATGGTATATCTATAATACAAAAAGTGATCAAACAGATTTTATATACAGTTTATTGCTGATTTCCCTATTAATATAAAAACATTTTTTTAAAAACAATTCCATAAATTATTGAGAGCCCCACAGCTAAACATATTTTATTAAAAAAGTACAAAAGTGACATTAGAAATATTTTTTGGAGAAAAGGACATCATCTAACAGCAAAGAAATATGAATCCATACAATAAGTGGCACAGATACAGCACTTACAGGAGTATTTAGTCACTACCCAGAAGTCACAGTCTTGAGTTATGAAATACTCAGTTTGAGAAGTTCCACATTCAGTTTGTTTTTGACTAGTATGTCTTATTTTTGTCTCTCTTGTAAGAAAAGAGTTAGGTCTTTACTGCTCCTGGAACAAATTACTGTACTTGAGAACAGTAATTTGGGGAACAAGGAGGGGGCATCCTTCTCCCTGAACAAGACAACAGTTAGTATAGAAATGGCTTTGGCACTTTGACGTTTAACATTGTCCCAAACCTTATTATTTGAATATTATAGCCTCACATGATTTTTTTAACCGTACTATCTCCATACTTTTATATACATTATACATATATATATATATATACACACACACGAAATTTAATTCTAAAACAAAATGGGTTGACCCCAAACAGGTCACATTAAATCTTGGTAGCAATTAACTCAAGATAGCTTTCTTCTTAATTCTGATACCACACAGTTAATTTGTTGTTCTTTGTTTAAGCTACCTTCTGAGGTTGACTTTAAGGCTCTAGTTTAATGCAAATGGTTTCAATCTTGGTAGGAATCTCATTTGAGGATGAAATTACACACCACTGACTCTCTCTTTTGAAGCTGTTTCTCCTTGTTGGATGGATGTAGTATCTTGTCTGGGTAATCCATAGAAATATATAGAAACACAAACGAGAAGAGTTCCCAGAGCAAAGGTGAGTGCTGAAAAGGAAACAAAATAAGCTTATGTAACAATGATTGGTTTAGAATTTTGAAAACTTTCAACTAATAGGTTTACACCACTTATTTGCATTTATGACAAGTGTCAATTTTAAAATGGAATTAAATCTATTACAGTGATTATAAGGTTTAGAAAGACAAAGGTATAGAGTGACAGTCACTGAGCACAGTGTGTGTGTGTATATTTTTAAGAACACAGTGTGCCTATCCTGAACTACTGACAAAGAACTAACTTCCCTCTAGGCTGACTGAAAGAAAGAGCAGTGGAGTATGCTTTTCCAAGATGCTAGAAACCTGTGCAAATTTAGAGCAAAGGTATTTGAGTAAAATTCAAAGAGTTAAGTAACCAATAATTATTTAATTAAATCCACTAAAGATTTCAAAATAGAAGTGGTGATAGTTAGTACTAAGTAAAATTCCATTTTCTGCTAAACTTGTTTATCATCTTAATCCTAAAAATCAGGACACCACTGAATTACAACTTGTCTAAACTTGACCAATAGTCACTTTATAAATAAATGCTATGTCAAAACAGTATATTCCATACTACATGGAATATAATGGTACAATTTAACAGCTTACAAAATGACATGTAAAGAAATGCCATCAAGCTATGATTTTAGTTCAAACCTAACCAAAAAAGACTAGCTTTACCTTTTAAAAAGGGGAATGGGAATCCTATATAATAAAAGCCTAATATGCTAAGTGTCTGACCGTTTGACCAGTCTCTGTGATGCCCACTGACCACCAAGGGGCAGACACTCTGGTAGGTTAGCTTGCTGCTGGGGTCCGGCTGATCAGGACTGGGCGTGACATGCCTTGGAGCCCCCCCACAGTTCCTCCCTGGCCAGCCGGCCCGATCCTGCACTGGTGGGGTCCCTCAGCCTGGCCTGCACCCTCTTTCAGTCCGAGACTCCTCGGGGGATGTCAGAGAGCCAGTTTCGGCCTGATTCCTGCAGGCCAATCTGAGGGACTCCAACAGTGCATGAATCCATGCATTGGGCCTTTAGAAGACAGTCTAATTTCCTTGAAGACCATCATTAACATAGAACACTGACCAAAAGCCTTTTATATTGTTCCCAAGTATTATTTAGGAGCAAAGTCATAGGATTTGTTGAGCATAAGGATTGGTTCAGAACGTCAAAGTTCACCCAAATCAGGTAAGGAAAATATCTAAAGGAGGGCCTATGCCTGAAACTTAAATGGTTGGCCTTATACAGAATACTTATTACTACATGACAGGCACTATTCTAAGCACTTTCTCTGAAACAACCCTAGGAGGTAGGTGTTTTACTATTCCTGTTTTATAGATGAAGAAACTGAGACACAGGTTAATAATTTTCTGAAGGTTTACAGTCAGTAAATGGCATAGGCAAAATTTGAACCATTAATAATAATAAAAGCGTAATATGCAAATCGACTGAACAGCAGAATGACCAGGCCACTGGCTGGCAGAGCAACCAATCGAGAGGCTCCACAATCACCCCAAAGAGGGAGGCCCAGGCTACTCTGTGGGGGCGATCTATCCTGGAGCCCCAGTCAGGTGGGCAGGGCCTCCCTCTTTGGGACGATCCAGGTAGAGCCCTGCAATCAATCGCCCCAAAGAGGGAGGCCCAGGCTGCCCCACCGTGGCACTGCAGTGGGTGGGCAGGGCCTCCCTCTTTGGGGCGACCTATCACAGAGCTCCTGGACTGTGAGAGGGCAGAGGCTGGGCTGAGGGACCCCTGATACCCCCCGCCCCCCATGTATGAATTTTGTGCACCATGCCTCTAGTACTATAAAATAGTTTTCTAAGATTTCTACAAGGTTGGTATTCCTCTACTGCATTTATAAAAGGAGTCAATTTTTAAATGGAGTATAAGCATTTTTTCAGCATTGATATTTGACAAATTTTCCTCATGCATTTTTAAATAAAATTATTACACCATAAAAGCACCCTTAAATGTTAAGTCAGCACCACTGCTTAAATAAAAGAACATTTAGATTTGAATTGTAATTTCAAAACCAGTTTGCACCCACATCCAAAACAAACTAAGGGGGAAAAGAAAGAATCTATCTGTTCTTTAATCAAAAAGTTTTGTTTATTCTAACTCTACTGCTGAAAGTAATAATTTCCTAAGTCCTTCTATTTATTTCCTCGTGTCATGTATCTCATCATAGTATATTCTCTCTGAAGCACTGAAGTTGTCTTATCTAATATCTGGGGAATTGGGAGTTCTTGCCTGTAAGAGCTCTAACAGCAGCCCTCTCACTTTCATACAGAATGAGCACCCCTCAGCTTAAGCTCTAGAACTATTTAAAAACAAACACCTAACTCCTGCTGACCCATATTCCACACAACTATGAATTGCAGCACTTGTAGAATGAAACTAGGAATTTTTGTAAAACACCATGACCATGCCACATTTAAAAGACAAATCAAGGAAATGAGAGGCTTTTCCATGTCAAAAACTTGAAAATCCAAACTAAGACATACTTATCTGTAATCCAAACAGCAGCACTGAAGCAATGGTAGAAAGAACAATGGCTGCTGCTGCAGAAAAGCCTTTCATGATGTTGTCTGTATACTTGACCACAACAGAAGTGTAGAGGCCTCCAACACTTGCAAGAACTTGTACAAAGAAAGAAAGAAAATCTTAACATGCTAATAAATGAAGCATTCTATGATGGTAAGGAAATTTTCATCCTCAAAGATGCCATACTATTTTCCTTAGAAGCACCCACCTGAGAGAGTAATATTAAAATTCAGTAATTGTTCCTACAAAACTTTTTCAGGGTCCACTACTAAATTGTACACAGTTATTGCTAACACATTAGATACTTCTGATTGAGAAGGCAAATTGCTTTGGGGCAAATTGCTTTGGAGCAGCTATGCCACAAAATTAAGTCAATAAAACCAAAATGACATTTCAAACTAGTGTTCACAATAGAAAGGAACAACTTTAAAATGCTATTAACGCTTCAAATAGACATCTGACATTTTTTTTAAGGGTCTACCCAGAACCTTTGATTCCTGGATACTTACAGATGACAAACCAGACATAATATGTGTAACCAAAGAAAAATCCTTTTTCTTTAATTTCAGCTCCATCTGACAAGTAGACGCCAACTAATGTCACAACAATCCCTGATAGATACATTTGAATGTTTCTCACCCAAAGGGAAGTGTCTGAACTCTTTAAAACTTTTTCAAAGTACACTCCTGAAAGAAAATTAGACATGCAAATATGAGATAAAGATATTAGAAATTAACTTAAAAGAACACTAACCAAGAGCTATAGAAAAATATAAAGTATGCGATTTGGGGAACAAACATTTTACATTAAATGCACACTTATTATGTTTGTGTGACACATGGCATATTGAACATTATCAGAACTTTCTAACTCACATTTAACAGGACTCTTAAGTCATTATTAAGAACAGTTTCTGCCATTATTATAGCAGTAAGATAAATCACAAAACTGTTAATGTCAATAAAAAGACTTCCTTTGGTCAGCTGGAAAACTATACTATTAGACTCAATTATCATAATCACATCCTTATAAAATCTGCCTAGTAATGAATATTCCCAGCTTTGCAAAGTAACCTGTATAATCACCAGTTGGGATTTTTTTCAGAGTAAGTAATACAACCAAAATAAAATTTTGATAGGACTTGATGAGTGGAGCAATTTACCTTTAAAGCAAGGCTCCCCAAGCCTGTTCAGACACACTGTCAGAAGGACCAAGAACTCCCTAAGTAGATAATGCACTCTGCATTTTTCTGTTTGGGAGGGCCACAGCTTTTTTCAGATACTCTAAATGAGCGCATGATACCTCCCCATCCACTCTCAATCACTGCTGTACGTTTTACTCTTAAAATGAACACGTTTAACAAAGATATTAAAGGCTTATTAAAGGTTTAAATTATAAATTCCATGTAAACTAGAGATTTAGAAATTATCACTGAAGTATTAATCCACCAAAAATTCTAATGAAAAACAAGATTGATTTTGACAAACATATATTGGGAAGAGCCAGAAAATGGGGGGAAACATAATTTCCACCTATGAATTTCCTATCTGGGAAAACCATTTAGTGAGTGCTAAGTTATTCCAATATAAGTAAACCACTCACCATTTCTTCAGCTATTTATTAAGAAATTGAACTAACTAGAATGTTGGACACAAACATTTAATAGTTCAAAATCATGCTAAAAAATCAAATAGTGTATTATTTTGAGGGGCAACTCAATTTTGTTTCTAATTTGCTCATTACTAAGAATAAAAATTTAGCATGATGCTATCATTAGGTATATTCCCAAATATAGGTTTTCCCCTCTCATCAAACATCTTTTTTTATAATCAGTATTTCACTTCCATATCCAGTCTACTTTCCAAGTCAAACTCTTGAAATAACACAAATAGAGGTAAAGACATACCGGTATAGCTATAACTAATATACTCTTTACCAGAGAGAACTATCTCTAAAACACATTTTATTTATGTTACACATTCACATACTATCTCGACTGAGTGCAGAATGGCTTATCTCTACACGATTACAAATTTCTTTATTTGACGTTAATGATTTTGATTCTTGTCCCTCTGTTTTTGGCTGTTACTGTATGTATGAAGTTT